ATGGCTCTTTTATTCATGTCTTTCGAAGTAATGGAACCGTTAACATACGATGGACTGAGGGACTACCTCACAAAGATAAATTTCTCTGCGTCCCAACAACATGGATTTCGAAAAGGTACTCCTGAATTACTAATGTGCTTACTGCAGTAGACAGACGCACTAGCAATGTTTACTTCCCAGGACAAAATGACGTTATTTACCCAGACATTGCAAAGGCGTTTGACCGTGTTAATCACGACCATCTAATCGACAAATTAAAATTAATCAGGGTAAGACCCTCGCTCATCGACTGATTGTTTTCATATCCGCGAGAGCGCCCATTCACAGTTAGAGTCAGTTTATTTGTGCCTGAAGAGAGAGAACGTCATACTGACGTTTCCCAAAGCTCAGAAATGGGGCCTCTTCTCTCCCCGATATACGTAAATGACTTGCCTCAGCAGGTTTCTTCCGAAATTCCTCTTTTTGCCGACGACTTGGAACTATGGGGAGAAATCAAAAGTAAGGAAGACTGTACTTCTCTATGGGAAGGTTTGACTCAAATTCAAAGCTGGGTAGTCAACGACAGGTCCGCGTTTAATCCTGAGAAATGCAAGATGATACGTGTAAAACAAGATGTATTTCTTGTACGTAGCCTCAACGGCATGGAACTTGAAGCGTCGATGACGGAGAAGGATTTAAGCATTTTAGTCCCTCAAGAATCAAAATCCCATCCCGACTGTGACAGAAACGCATTTCTCGGAAACTTGGTATTAGTAACCCTCAGGTCAGTTTTCGGGCACTTCGATCGTAGATGCTTCCACCAAATTTTTAACAGCTTCATACGCTTAGAGGGCATCCACAGGTGCTCGACGAAATCTGTTCGTGGACTCAGGTCTAAAGCACATGAAAAACGACCGGTTGCGCTGTATTTGTACCTTCTGGAATATAAAAGGTTAAGAGGAGACTCGATAATGACTCGCAACATTCTGAGCACCCCTGGAGACCCACTCCGTTACTTACTGAATCTTTGCTGTAGCATCACTTGTACAGGACGCATACAGAAACCAAGCCTGGAGCATCGCAGGTTAAATATCAGGTACAGCTATTCCTTAAGAGTTGTTGAAGTCCGGAGTGCTCTTTCTGAAGATGTGATTCAGGTGACTTCGCCTGAATCCTTTAAACGCTGACTGGATACCTATTTGATATGTAACCGGGATCTACCCGGAAGTAATTGAATTTTTCTCATTTCAACCGCCTTTTTTCCTGTTTCTTTACTCGTGCACAGGTTAACAACCACAGGAAGCAGTGATCCACGGATTTTAGATGCGGAGGCCAGGTATGCGAAAGTTTCTTTTCCTTTAATAACCACTTCGACCATTTAAGGCACACAGAAAATACATCTAATGTTATGACGTCATTGTTTCGGAGACAACAAAGAATATAACAGGTTAGCACCAACATCACCATCCAGCAAATAAATGCGAGCTCACTTCGAAATTAGGTATTTTTCAACCATTGTAACTGTCGAATATCCTTGAAGAGAGGGCGAGAGGTACAGCCGTGACCTTAAATGGTATGTGGCCTTTATGAGATTTTAGTGGAATGGCAGATATGACTACGAGGATCCCGTTTCAGTAAAAATCTGATCAGTTTGACCTGAAAAATGAATAAAAAGTAGCGACTAAGCTCGAAATGGAGACACGAAAATTCTAACCGCGAGTACGTCAATCATGATACACATATAGGTGAGTTAATTATACTGGCTACAAAAATGCTACTCGATACAGTATCCCAAACCAACTTTTTAAAGGTCAGCTTCTAGGGAAGAAGGTAAATTTTTACGTGGAAGTAGTGAAAACGAAGAAATCTGACTGAGATGAAGAGAAGAGTTCCATATATGAAACTAGGTATCCGCCTATGTACAGAAAACTAATGTATACAAGCTAAAATAGAGTTGTAAATGTTACACTAAAAGCCTTGTCTTTTGCTATGGTAACAAACATGATTAATATAGTTATGAGAAGAGGAAATGACCTTTGTGTTGTCTGTTGGACGCTATCTTATTAGGGCTATAAAAACAACTCGGTGGTAACGGTGGGCTGAGGTAGTAGAGAAGGCAAATTGGCATTCTCAGCGCACCCATTTTTTATGTCCTACTATTTTTCTGACATTTCTGCTTTGCATTCAAACACCACCAGAAATACGAGAGCCGTAGGTTGCATGAAGATTCTGCCGTACAGGCAAAGGTGGCTCGAGTTTATCTCTCTGCCAATATGCGTGCTAGTCAGTTATCACCATCTTATCATTCTACTTTGTCTTTAAACTATTTTTATGCTACGTTCAAGGTTGACAACTGGAAAAAATATTATTAGTTCGATAAGACTGTGTTTGCATTATTGACTCTACCATCCCTTGGTATGAATTGTACATCAGGCAGCATTTATGACCGTTATACCTCCATTCATGCCATAATCTAGCCTGATAATCATCACGCATTAATGGGTTGTACTTCGTCATAGACAATGATGGACGTTAGACTTCACAGGTATTGACCTACTTCCTGGAGGTCATCTGGTTCACCTGAAGTAAGCAGACGATATTTCTATGCTAGATGATGCTGTCGAAATGTATGGTCCTGTGAACTCGCTCAGCAGGAATCGGAGTATATTTGACATGCATTTCGCTGTCAAATGTAAGATGATGCCGCAGGACTGGTCTTCTTTGAGGAGTTGCATCAGACGTCTTCGTAGCTTTGCTTGCGTTTGATGGAATCGCCGTGTGAGCGACGTGGAAGTCAGGCGAAGGTGCTTGGCAAGACAGAAAACTTGATTGATGAAGTTGTGAACCTTCATCGACTGAGATGGCTTTGACACGTACTGCGTATGTGGAGTCACGGACTGCCTCAATGTGGTGTGCTCATCATCATCCATATCAACATACAACCAAGCATTGCTGCGTAATGGTCCGGGTTGCTACACCTGATACCAGTACATCAAGTAAAAAGGCAGTGAGGTGCAAGATGAAGGTAAGAAATTTGTCAAAAGAAATATAAAGTACTAAAAGAGAGAAAGGAAAAATGAGAAAATGGTGAGATACCGTATAGCGTCGTTAAGATGAGAATAATGTATGTATACATCTGCGCCACTGGCAGCGCTCCTCAGACATATCATCTAGAGTCTGCAACCACTGGTTCCTCTTGTCCTGCGAACCCCGACCGGCTGGTCTGCATCGCCACACATGGCTCAAACCAACAGTCAGAGACTTCATACATTGGTGCCATGTGTAGGGGTGCATGTTACAATTCCGTAACGTTTGATCAACCCTACTTAACTTGATGTGCTCTAGTACCTGCTTAACCAGTACTTTACCTAACGTGTAAGTATTGATAACAAAACACAAATCAAAAGAACTGATACGCAATGTATTTGAAGGAGCTATGTATTTAATTAAAGTAAATGTAATAATAATGAATGGGGGAAAAGTTTAATCAACTTATCTGGCTTGTAAGGCTGAACTAGGGACTCGGTGTACGTGCGTGGTAATCAGCACAATGGAGCGCAAAATGGCGTCCAAGCCTGCTCGGATGCATGCTCGTTAAAATAAAACTTAAAACACCCTAAGCATCCGGAGGCAAGCTAGAGATTTATTTAGTTAATTTAATTTAAACTAGTTATATTTTGGTGCCAGAAAGGTGCACTACACATGTTTTAGTCTGGCCATCGCGGGCCTTTTTCCAGCCTGGACCTACTTCGGCCAACATTGTGTGACGAGGTAATCGGCGACTACGCATACATAATACGTGTCCTAACCATCTTAGTCACTGAAGGTTCATAACCTCGTAAACTGACTTACCTCTACTCCCTAAAAATCTACACCTGACGTCTGCATTACTCACATGGTGGTGGTAGAATGCTTAGGGAAGTTGGATTAGGTTGGAAGACAATTCAGGGTGGTTAGACTAAAACCTGGCACCAGTCGGTGAAATCTCTCATAGTTGGTTAGGATTGTTTTCTCCAGTCAACCGATTAGGAGATGGGTAAGGATAAACTACTGCTTTGAGCCAGTTAGAAAGGCACCTTAGAGGTAGATATGGTAATCCATCCCAAAGTACCGACAACAGTGATCGTCACTTACAATTTTGATCTGACAATCACTTGTTTCTGGTCAGCAGAAAGTTCAAGCATAAAGAGAAACACTGCCTCACTTAGAGCCTGTCAACTTAAAACTAACGGTTAATACAGACAGATATAATATTACTGTAAGCTGTCATTAGGCGATGGATGCAGAATTGGTTTACTCCCTTGAACTCTGGTCACGCGTCTATGTTTGCACTTTACTTGGAGCAGCGCCCATAACAATGAGGCCTGTATAATCAATCAAACGGTAGTGTATTTGGGTAAAAAGTACCAAAGCATTTATCTTAACAAGGTAATAATTCTCTTTCTAATGAAGCCTGGCATAAAATTCAATCTGTTGTAGAGACAGTAACAAAGGGAGTTTATAATCTGCATCCAAATCAGTGGATTTCTGCAATGCCTTTCGAGATTATTGGTACGAGAAGACTCATTCCAATTGGGTCTGACCATACGGAAGAGAGAATCCAGCTTGGAGGTAAGGTGACTAAACATTCTCACGGTAGCTGCAGGCAGTAGTGGGTAGTGAAAACGATGAAGAAGGCATCAACACCAGATAATACTAGGCGATTATTTAGCCTGTTTAGGGAAAGTAGGGGGATGTTTCGGAGTATGCTCATTATTTGTGAGTGGTCCCAACAACTACTAGAAAGTAGATATTGTGTATCTTTATACTGAACAGCTGCTGAGTCTTCATTGATTCACAGATATTTCCACAGTAATGCTGATCACCATGAAGTAAGTGGTCCACTAATCTCTACGGTTTCAGTGTTGATAGTTTTCGAAGAAAAGAGCTTGGAACTGCTTATTACGAACGATTTATACACTATATTATATACAATGTTTTTGTTTACTAAGAGATATACGCATTAATTTATATGGTTGTATTTTGATTTGATTTCTACTTTGTTCTTTCTCTCTTGAAAGCTACGTGTTTGTTTGCAAGAACTCAAAACGACTAGTGTCGTGCAGTCAGTCAGTAAATTAGTTTTTCGATCTTATGAGTATACAGGATGTTTTTTTGAAGATAATTAATGTTTTGAAGATCAAACTGAATATTTATAGGCTATTGACTTGCAGATATATACTCAAATACTAAGAGTGATTTAGACAACCAGGTGTTATCATTCGCATCCCCGCATTAGTTGTGGTTTATGTCCCAGTACTGCGACCTTATGCGTCCTAATCATCTACCTTTGAGTTACCAGTCTGGTACTTTGCTTAAATGTTACACTTCGAATGGGGAATTTTCCAAATATTGTTTTCGCTACTTCATATTTGTGTGATGAATCAAAAAGTTGGCTGAAACCCTTCTTGAATCACATGTTACTTTTTTGAAGCAAATCAGGTGAGCTGTGGTGCGTTCTGAGAGCGATGCACTTGTCATATTGATAAAAGTTTTGTCTCATTTGATCCTTATGATGGGAACCATTTGGTCTTGTGTTTAATTGAATACTAATACGTCTGCCCAAGACATAAAGTGGGACACGTACGGTATTGACAATTTTGATCACAAATGACAGAAAAATACAAGACGTACAAATAAAAACAGGGTTTTTGCATTTTCAAAGAAAACACCGCTAGTGATAACTTCAGTTTATTTTTTCACTACTTTTGATTGAATTTCAGTAGTTTGGAATTGAACACGACCATTTGGTCCATTAAAGTAGATTGCACACCTACTACCAATTTCACTCATATTTCTTTGTCTTACTATTGTATAGTGGTGGATAATGTACTTAAAATGTGCATCCACATCAGACGACGAAAAGTGTATTCACCCTTTGAGTTTTGCTTTACGCTTATGTAGAATCTACAGTAGATCGCATGCACCATGTTCTCCAGCTCGAAGTTTACTAACAGACTTTTTTTGAAGTACACTAAGAAGAAAAATACGTTTCATCGCTCTACGAGCAATGCAACATTATTCATGAAGTTGAATTCAAATCACCAGTTCTTAACAACAAGATAGTCTGATCATTTTTCTTATTTTTCAAAATGGTGTTCATCATGGATTGATACCAGTTGGAGGAACATTGGGAACCTGAGAGCATTGAACAGCTGTTTCGTCCTAGCATGGGACTCTTCAGTGATACGCGCTCATGACCCCACCCAAGATCTTCAAGTTCCGTGGATAGCATGTTAACATTGAGCCACTGGGTCGGAATCCAATCCTTCATATTTCTAACTTCTGTCAGTTCACGACATAGCTCGTCCATCCCCCAATTTCATCGTTGAGTATTTATCCTCGCAGCCACCAGGTTTGCCCCACTGGTTACTTCTCATTGGAACTTCAAAAATCACCTCTCGAAGGTAGTCGCCAATGAGCACTAATTCAATTTAAATTGGTGGATTTGTGGGGGAAAATCACTAAATCGCCACAAAACCACAAATTAATTTTTTCTTAACTTAAGGAGTATTTACCAGTTTTAAACTCACTGACAGTTTTGCCTATTTTTTACTGATTTAATATCATCATGCTTTCATTATTAAGAAGACGGGATGAATGTTGTGAACGATCTACTTCCATCATCTCGAAGCTAATTTTCTTCACCTTTGTTCACTGTAACGGTACGTGCCTCTTGTCATTTTGACTATTACTCCTTAATTTTAAAATTGTATTTAACTGCTACTGCAACGACTAGACGTTGTTATGCTTTTTTCTAGCTTGTGAGTACTTTGTTGCAGGGATGAGGGTGGCGAGTAGAAGAGTGTCTGGGAGGTTGATGGTAGTTCAATCAGCAATCACAAGGAATGTACGTGCGTTTTGTACTAAACGAAAATCGACTACTTAGCAATAAATGACAAGACGAAAAGGAGATCTAGAAATAGCAACTAGGATATGAGTTAGCATGGTCTCAAAAGACTTTTATTGCTACTACTAGGAGAAGCACTGGTAATGGCTTTGAGAAATATTAATTATTGTGTAATATAATAGATGGATTCGACCTTGAATTTATGTCTTAATTTTCCCGTGTTCTAGCATGTGGTACTTCGTAGTCTATATATTGCGATACTCTGAACAACATAAGAACTTCTTTCGTATTTCCTGCATGTCAAACTGAGGAAGATGATTCAGAAATAGCATTAATTCCCAATATTGAAAATTTAGTAGCGGTTACGATGCCAAGATTTCAGTCAAGATACATATTTTCGAAGTGGCCTACAGAACTATTGTTTTATCATTAGCAATTTCACTTTGACAACCGATAGAAATGTATCTAAAAACCACATTCAGTTTCGTTCAGTAAACAATGAGCCACACTTTTTATGTAACGGTCAATGATACTAGCTGCCGAAATCTTGGTACGGGATTTAGATTTACAACCCTTTTGGTTGGAAGTCAAGTTTCTAGATCAATGAATCACATTTCCGACAGCCCCAAACTAGGGGCAAGTTTGAGCGTAATTATAACCTGTGAGCAGCTTTCGTGGTCACTTAATGGTCATTAAACCTAATCAATCTTTTTCATTATTTCCCATTGCATGTATTCGTGACGCTCTATCCGTCTGTAAATTTATGCATCTTGTTTCTAATTGTGATAAGTACAAACAGTCAGAAATCAAAGCTTCAATACCATGGATTAACTGTCTTCTGAATTAATTTGCAATTTATTTTGACAGTTCAAGAGCAAATGATGAAGAAAACTATGGAGTTCTGCGCTTTAATGGATTCACATAATTCAGACATATTGATTGTTTTCAACAGAAAGACTGCTGGGAGATGGCATAATGTGCAGCGCTCTGAAGATTTCTATAGCCAAGCATCTTTTTATATCCTCAGGAAGAAACTGTGGTGTTTTCAGTCACTAACAGTTTAGAAACGCCTTATCAACTATAGCACTTATGCAGTATAAGCTTAATTAACCTTGAGAATAAATTAAAAGCACATAATATTGATCCAAAAGAGATGATCAGTAACTCGAAACTAGGCTGGAAGTTGATCAATCAGGCCTTCCTTTTATGAAAACATCCATCACCTACTTTTTATTAATTCTGCTCCGTAGGGTCATAAATTTGACCCAGGTCACATGATGTATTTCCAACTTTAATACTGTTTAGTATTTTTGTCTTCATCGAATAACACTTCTTATATGATTTTCTTACCAAAGGATTTAGATTTTGAAAATATAAAGTTTCTAGTTTGGACTATAGCTACGTTCAGATTCCATGTGACCAACATAAAGTGTAAACATCTGTGAATAAAATATGTATTTTTGAGATGGGGATTTTTAATTTAGACGTAGTATTCATCATGGACTGACATCAGTTAGGGAACCATTGAAAACCTGGGTTCACTGGACAGCTGTTTCGTCCTAGTATGGGACGCCTCAGCAGTACGCACCCACAACCCGGCTAGGGGTCGAACTCAGGACCTTCAGGTTTCACGGCGAACGCGTTAACCATTCCAGCCACTGGGTCGGTTTCCAGTGGTTCACAATTTCCAACTTCTGTCAGTTCACGACATAACGCGACTATCACCCAAGGTCTTCAGTTAGCATCCACTTCACTTCCGACTGGTTGACCCCACAGGTCCAGTGCTCCCAGATTTTCAATGGTTCCCTAACTGATGTCAGGCCATGATGAATACTACGTCTAAAATAAAATATGTCTCATGTGAGTATTTCACAGTAGACAACAGGAATATGCTGTCTTGAAAGGTTTTAAATCAGAAAATGGTTTGTGAAGGCATTATTAGCAAGCAACTCAGATCAAAAGAATATATGCCTATAGTAATTTTGTATTCTTTTTTTGTGAATCCTACTAATATCTTATCGAATTGAAAAACGTGCCACTGTTGTTTTGTCCCAATCATTTTGAAGTGTTTATTGTTCTATACCACTAAAAAGTAAGGCATCAATCGTGATTTTACAAACTACGTGTTTCATTACACCATGTTCAGAGTGAGTTTGGTGTTTGTGAGTAAAGAAGACCGGATAACTAAATGAGATCAATACTTTCATAAGGTTTTTATGCTAGACATATATTTGGTCAAAATTTAACTATCACTCATCAATTAATATTTATTAACACAAAACTATAACTCCACTAAACATATAACGATAGATTTTAAAGACTGATGAATAAGCAGGCTGGTCTGGTCAAATTGTAAACAGTGTTTTTCAGCTAATGAATCAGATAGTTAGGAATTTCGGTATCATCTAAATCATTTAGCTGGCAACGTCAGATACATTTAAATAGAAAAATGTTATTCAGAAAAACAGAAATTTTGTGAAAAACGTGTCATACAATCTAATCAAGAGGGTAATGATTTTCGGTAAATGATACTTAATAACACGTACTTGGACACAAAGCTTAATGATTAAACCAGTTACAATTACTTTTTGAAAATAATATATAGTTCACGGAACCGCTTCAGTTTAGAGAATCGGATTCCTCTTATATGCAAACCTAAGTACTTTCCGTTTGCCGGCGTTCCAACCTCGTGAAAGTTACAGGCGAAATTAACGTGTCTAAGTAGTCATGTAAGTAAAGTTTACACTGACGAGAAGTAGTGAGAGCTACTTGTAGAAATACGTATAAGTAGTATAGGATGGAGATGTGTGAACATTCCTGAGGGAGTTGCTGATATTCAAGACACACCTGAAACCAGATGAAGGCGACCTACAAATCAGCGTTCGGCGAGGTGAACATGTCAGGTGGAGTGATATGTTTCACAGGTTTGGCTCAGCTGATACGATGCGACCAGTAAACGAGTTCAGAGGTAAGAGACTGAGTGCAGATGAAGACCCAGTAGTGCTGGGGATGAAACACATCAGTTGTGTCCATCACGCACTATTCAATACTAATCAGGAGCACAAATGTTAGAAACGTAGTTCATGGAGTGCATGCCAGTCGCCGTTCCTCGACAGTTGAAGCTTATAGACTCAGCTGAGTTGATGAACATTCGACAGCGAACACCTCTCGACAACTGATGGGCACAATAGTAGTGGCCGTAGGGGTAAGGAAGCCAAATTATTTGAAGACTTATAACAGTAGATGGCGACCCTGTACACCAACGTTAATAGAAAAGATACATATTTCCTTTGGGGGAGGATGGGGCACCGGCATAGAAACTGTCCCGGATTGTGAAAACTTACCAATTATAGAAATTAAAACTCGTGTTCTTGCTCATCGTTAAAACCAGAGGTGATTAGGCCATCTATAAAGGGGTGATGAATGCTAGAATGCAAGTCAATGACAAGGAACTGAATTGTTGACATTAGATCTAGTGTTCATATCACAAAACTGTAAAAAAAGTGATAAATTGAAATGTGCTTCCAAGACAGTGGAAATCGATCATCCAAACGTTAGCGACATTGCACAAAATCGACGTTCACGATATTTAAATTATGAATAACTTTTGAATAAGAATTTCCATATGTGTTACAGATCGTAGGATATATTTTATTATTACACTATAGATACACAGTAAAATGAATATACAACTGAGCATTTCTGTCCTTAAATGACTACAGACAATCTAACTGTATAGTAGTGCATTGAAGTAGGATTTCTAATACAATATTTTATTATACTATCACGATCATGACTTTGAGTTAAAGCATTCGATAAAGCACTCAAACTAATAAAACCTAAACCAATTCCTCGACCAATTGATTGACCATAACCACCGTTTTGAACATAACCAAGAAGAAAACGATGATGTTGATTAGATTTTTCCTCGTCAACCAAAGGAAGACTATGAAAGTCTCGTTTTTTCAAATTGTTGTAAAATGCATAAATATGACCATAGGTTTGCGGTACTCCTCGATGTTCAGCCTTTAAATACACCTGGAATATGATTTTTGTGAAATGTAATTAGAATAAACACAGTGAACAAGAGTATATCTTAAACAACCGAAGTCAACTACAACAAATTCCATCCATCCATCCAAACCATTATAGGACGGAGCATTACTGCGTAACGGTTCGATTTGCCACATCTCACATCAGTAAATAAAGTAAAAAGGCAATTAAGTGGAAGGAAGATGAAGATAAGAAAATTCAGTCAAAACAAATATAAAGTACTAAAGGAGAGAAATGAAGAATGAGAAAACGATAAGATTCGGTGTAACGTTAAGATGAGGACAATGTGTGTGTACATCTGCGACAATGACATCGGTTCTGAGCCATCCCATCACCTAGAGTATCCAACCACTGGGTTCTCTTGTAACGTGAACCCCAACTGGCCAGTCTGCATCGCCCCACATGGCTTAAACTAACATACTGATAGTTGGATATGAAGATCTCAATAAAATTTAGGAAAGATACAAATATACAAATCTGTTGTAGTCATTTGATTATACATGTATCAACAAATATCTTCATTTACTGAATAAAATGAAGCTTAATCAATCTTCAATATAAAACGTCATTTGTTTAATTCAATGTCTTTACCGATAGTAGTTAATAACATATAGCTTATATTTTACAAGTTACTGTAAATCAAACTGACATTATTCGTGTAGTTAATCCAATTAGTTGGTCGGAAAAGACCAGTCAGTTTATGATCTTCAATTAATCAAGTCTAATATATTCCTGCCGTAGACTTAAAATGACAAAAACTCAATCAAATGGAAATGTAATTCAATAGCTGGATCACCTCATATAGTTATCATAATGTTCTGCGTGAAAATTGATTTTCCCTAAGATTACTAGTGAAATGATAAGATTTTGTAGGTGTAAAAAAAGTCGATGAAGTTGAGATTAAGTTGAGTTGAATGCCATTCTGTATTCTATTCTATGATCATGCGTACTGTTGCAATTTGATAAGCACATGATTTGTTCTTCCTCAATCCAGGCTGCTCCGGTAGTAACTATAAATCCAGAGCATCTTTCAATCTCTCCACGATGATGCGACCTCATATTTTGCCAGGGGTGGACAATACCATAATTCCGCGACAGTTACTACAAACACTTAAGTCGCCCTTCTTTCCGCATCTCACAAGGTAGTCCTTCTTCCAATCGTCAGGTAACTCTTCTTACTCACCTCCTTCCTTCCTTCCTTCCTTCCAAACATTATGCAACAGGGGTGTCAGCATGTCCACTGTTATCTCCACATCTATTTTCAGTACTTCCACTGGAATTCCATCTCATCGTGCTGCTTTCCTGACTTTCAGAAACTTTATGGTGTTCAGGTCTTCACTTCTGCTTTCGCCGGAGGGCTTGTGTTCACTGGTGATTCTGTCGCTCCTGGTGGTATTTCTAAACGAGTTGTAGATTGTGATGGTGGTGTTAGTGGTAGTGGTGGACGATCCAAGAGTTTTTTGAAGTGGTCAGCCCATTGTTTCCTTTGTTTCTCCTCTTCCACAACTAACTTTCCTTCACTATCATCTTTCATTGCTTTCACTTCGGTTTATCTCTTCCCAGATAGTAAGTAACCTGGTTATTTGATATAGTGTCGTCAGATATCTATCACTCCCACCTGCAGCCTGTTCTGCTTCACTTGCAAGTGTCTCGTAGAAGTGTCTATTGTCTTTCCGCGCATTCTTCTTCACTTCTTTCTCCAGTCTAGTGTTTTATATACTGTATTCAATTCCTCTTTTCATTATTCATCCCTGCACTGTACTGCACTGCAATGCAATTCACTGCACTGGTTCATCTTCTGATTCACCTTCACCATCACCATCTTCCTCTCCCTGCTCTATCACCTTCTGTGTGTCCGTTGACATCCACTCCTTGTCTTCTTTCTTCTTCCTTCCTAACACAGTTATGCAGGTTTCCTTCCACAGAGCTTTCACAGAGTTCCAGTCTTCTTCCATACAGGTTCCTTCACAGATGTTGCTCAATCTCTCCCATTTTGTCCTGATGACTGGCTCACGTGAAGATGTCCTTTGTAGTTTCATCCTTCACTTCAGTTTCTGTTCTGGGTGTTGAACTTCAACTGTGGTCTGTCATCATCAGTCTCTTTGAAGGCTTCCAACTTGATTTTAAAGGTTCCTTGCACTAGGTAGTGATCTGAACCTACATCTACTCCTCTTCTTGATCTCATCTTGTGTCCAGTAGGCTGCGTCTTCACTTTCTTCACATTGAGATGAAGTCGATCTGATTTTCAGTGTGTCCATCTAGTGAAATCAAATGCATGATGCTTTGTGAATATCCTTGTGTTTGTACAGGCTGCCTCCAATCACCAAATCGTTGAATGCGCAGTAGTGAGAGGGATTCAGCCTAGAATTCTGAAGTCTCAGAGCAAACACGTTACCACTCAAATGGTGGTTTAGAAGTTTACTCAGCACCAATTATTGGTCTATAATATGGGTTACCGCTAGGTAACGAATTCGTTTAAACAATTCATTGCTATAAATGTTCAGTAACAACTGGATAGTACCCTTAACTCCATAGTAATGAATGACAACGGTTTCTAACTTCAAATGGTATTATGATTTACATAGAGGTTACAGCAACAATTCAATGTGATAACATACAGCAAAATAAAAAATCGAATGATACACAATCGATTACTTACTAGAATTAGTGCATTTAAAAGGGATGGATTGTAGTTATACAGTTGTTGTAATGACAGTTTAGCACGACGATCTCCAACTAACATTCTGTGTACAACTAAACGAAGTAGTGCTGGTTCACGAAGAACAAACCAGTCAGTAGTATTTGTAGTAATTTCATCGCTACTGGGAACAACTGAAGTAGGAGTAATATCTGTTGTTATACCCAGAGTAGTGTTCGAATCTGTAGGCTTTGGTATCCCTGACGAATTTTGCTTAATTAATTCGGACCAAGGATACATAAATGGTTGAGATACACCGAATTTTACGAAATCAGGACGTAGATTACCTGGAAGATGACTAGGAAAGGGTAAATAAACGAAAGAATTTATGCATCTCTTAAACAAGCAGAAAGTATTGATCAATGTTTGATATAAGAATTTAGTCACTAGGATCAAACAAATGAAATTATGTGCAAATGTGGCTTACCTATTTGATCATTATTAGCGAATTAGCTCAGCTGTTAAACACAACTGTTTTTACAACTTACACACAAGCTTTTGACATTTTTCAATAGGTAATTTATTTCCATGGAAGAAATTATAATTCTAACCAAACGTTTACTTTCAAGATATTTTTGTCATCTCAAATTGACAAGCCAGGAAAATCCATACAGAAATAAATAACCATCTCATTTTAATGTGCAACTACATAGAAATGATTACAGTGAGCGATTCGGTTTCAGTCCGATAACTTAGAATAGTAAGGCATAAAAATTGTTTTTTTCTGAGTTAAAACACCAGATAATCAACAGAAAAATATATTTTTTTATGAGGTATTCATTTCAGATTACATCAGCTTAATCAGTTTGAATATGAATCAAAAGTTTTAGTTCTCTTCAGGCTTTAGATGTTGCACAACAAAGCTGGATTTGATCCTGGATGTAGACAACGAAGTGGATGGGGAGAAAAACCCAAGCTAGATTGAAAATTTCTATCAGCTGTTTCTAAACTTTCACTAATCTTACTAATGAAACTAAATTGAGCGTTCAATATGTCAACATCTATTATTAGCCGCTGGCTAATAGATAACTTCGAGTTTGTGCACACCTGTAAACAATTTTAATTAATCAGTTGTATTGTAGAAAACTATCGAAAAAAAATTAGTAAGACTATTATCGACTATATGCACGTTCGTGCATGCAGGCAATGAGCCATACCTAGTGTAAGGGTCTATAATTTAATTCTACCTGATCATCTAGACCTCCATAGGTAGAGTGGAATAGAATTAAAAACCGTGAACAAATGGCTGGAAATATACTTTAGGTTGGAGTCCATCATGGGCTGACATCGGTTGGCGAAACATTAGACACCTGGGACCACTGGATAGTTGTTTCGTCCTAGTATAGGAATCGTAAGTAGCACACAACCATGATCCTACCAGAGATCAAACTTAGGACCTTCATGTTCCGCAGTATTGATATCACCATTGAGCAAATGAATCAGAATTCAATAGTCTACATTCCCTACTTCTGTCAGTTCGCGATACATGTATGCAACACTGATGAAAATATTAATTAAAGCTTTTAAATATCACTAAAAAATCCCATTAACCTTCGAAAACCATTTGAGTAGACAATGAATATTCTTTTCGATAACTTCTTTTTCAGGTCCTACAGTTATATATGTACTGTTCAGAAAGTAAGTGTTGCCACTACAACAAGGCACGAATTCAGCTCTCATAAACATCTTCCTATTATTTTGAGTTGAATCCCAGTAAAAATTGATTTCATCATTAATATTCACACAAGACTTCTCTGAATTGACTTCCTACTACTATTATTAACAAACTCATAGGCGAAATCTCACTATTGTTGATGGATAATTCTTCAATATGTACACATATCAGCTGTAGAATCTGAAGAAGAAGTTATTGAAAAGAGCATTCTTTATTCACTCGAATGGCTTACGAATATAATGATTTAAATCTTTAGAAAATTTTTATCTATTGAATGATGGGAATTCTACTCAAAAGATAATAAATGATCAAATTTGGATATCACCAACTGAATAGATGCATAAATTAGGTGGGTAAACAGCTATGTAGTATATCTTAGATTCAATGAATTTTTCAAGTTTTAATTCATTAAAAAGGCCTACTTAAAGAATTCACTTTCTTTTAGTGGTCAATTTAAAAATAATGATGTGCATAGTAGAGTAAAACACTTTCAATTAACTAATTAAAAAGCCAAGGGAACACAATTTTGGAAAATATCAATACGGTATAGAAGTCACGTGAAAATAGGTCAAGGTTAGCAAAGTAAAGAAATGTATGGGAAATATGTAGCGTTATTGAATGGAAAAGATTCTATTTACTAAATTTATTCATTGGATACCTATGACCAGTGGGTGTAAACAGCTAGAAGTACATGAAATGTCTACAGAGTGGAATTGATTGCTTTTTCTAGGCAAGATGGGAAAAGTAGATTGGATTGAGTTGTTGGCGAACAAACGATAAAATATATCTCCTGGTAATTTAAATTAGATGCTGGAAATTGTTACATTCCTGTTGGGTTGTTTAGTTGTTGTTAAAAGAATTTCGATAAAGATAGCCCGTTTAACATTTACCAACCCTTACCATTCCCTTGTTACCAGAGTCATCCAAAAGTAATACCAGTGAACTCTCTCCCCATTATATCGCTTTGCTGGAGGTGGTCAGTAAGGATGGACATCATTGAGCTTTTCAGTCGACCAGCTAATATCAACATGGGATATGACATTACTGTGTAAAAATTCGAATTTTCACACCTCATATCGGCACATCAAACCTAAAAGCATCAAGATAAAAGATGAAGGAACGAGGAAGAAGGTAGTCAAAAAGGGATAGAAGATCATGAAGAGATCTAGGAGGAATAAAACAATAATGGAATCCAGCATGATAACTGAAAAGAAGACAATATGTGGATACATCTCCACAACTAAGACAGTTTCTGAAGCACATCACCTGGAGTCTTGAACCACTGGTTTCGGTCGTCATTGCAGGTTCGCAGAAAGACATACAGATAAAATGCAACATAAGACCTGAGATGATTGAATTTGGTCCGAGTTACAAAGCATTATATCAGTCGTCACACAGACATCTTCTGAACACCTTTTAGACTGACAATCACGAGTCGGTATTTCTGAAAACTGTCAATATACACAAAGTTTAGGCCCGGAACTTCCTGAAGAATTACATAATTTGAACAACTATGATGTCAATAAAAATTTTAGTTAAGAAGCCTGATTATACTCATCTTTATCGAATTCAAGTTGACAAACATGTACAAAATCGCGCATTAAGGTGTTCGTATTAAATAATGGCTTATGACAATCCCTATAGGTAAAGTGAGATTCAAAACAGAAAACCAAATGCCTTTAAGTAAGTAACTGCTACATAACATTAAAACAGAGAAAAAGAAATAACTTTATCATCAGTGATTCGTTTTAACAATATTCATAGTTTATCATCGTCTCATGAGCAAACATTTTTGAAAATATATCACCCATACTTTTACTCACTTAAGACGATTTAATTTTTCCTCAGTTACACTTTGGGCAGATTCTTGACCAGCTGGTGTATCAGGCCACAAAGTGTCTGGGAAAGAATAAAAATGTCCACCTCCACGTGTACCAAGTCCAGCCCAATGATACAGATCTCGTAAGCCACCAACTTCAGAGCCTCGGTAAACACAGGCTATTAAGAAATCACGTGCAGCTAAGGAACCACGGAGTAATGCTTGTTCATTCTTTGACTGTGGAAAGTTACGTCGTAAAATGATATCCCAACCGATACTTTCAGGAGATAAACGAACCAATGATGGAGTACTATTTTGTATTAAAATTATATCTGTTTTACTTTCTTCTGAGTCCTTATACGGTGAGAGAAAAGAGTAATGACATTTTTCAAAAAAATTCTTTAAAATTTATGTTAGTAAACTAATTTTATGACTTTATAGTTACTTTGACTGGTGAAGTACATCATAATTTGTACTTAGAATAACTATACAGCACACTTCCCGAAGTAGAGTTGTGGTTCATCAGTTTAGACAGTTGACTTCCAACCAGTTGGTCACCAGTTCGAACACTGTTCCACCTATCGAGGAATCGACAGCCAGTTATTAGTATCATTAGCCCTCACACAACAGGTGTGACTAATCGCCTACTGGACGAATGTTCACAAGGTTTCTGAGTAGATTTAGATTTGATTACAATCCTTCCCTAAAATTTACATGAAACTGAAACAAATGGCGTAGATTATGGTAACAAATAATTGTAATTAATAACTCATAACAGAATTGTATTCTTCAGTTGGTTGGCAGATATGTACGATTGCTGCAAGGGAGATAATTAGAAGTAATCAGCAGGAAATTCTGGATTCAAGTTCAGTACTTGTTGGCACTCGTCAGTAAGATATATCTATAACTCCGAAAATCTAAAAAGTGTGCATTGATTCTTTCCAGTCTTGCTAACCGGTGCAAACAAGCAACAAATTTGAGTTGAGTACATTTAATTGTTATTCAGTGATCGATCTATGAGCGCAAACTTCAATAAATCGTCTCTGGAGTCTAGAAGAAAAGTATAAACTTTCTGAAATCTAAAAGCTTTGACGATGCAATGCAGAAATTATGAGTCACTGAATGATCATTTAAATCGTAATGACCTTTGAAATGTTATGCAGAGTAATGCAATTTAAAGTAGCTGAAATACAATATGAAAGATCATAACAACAACACGTTACAGCTATCATACAGGAAAGGTGGGAAAGTCAAGCTGACAAAATAATAACCCAAAAATAAAATTCACGCTCATCACGGTATATGTATGTTATATCTGACCTAGAAGTATCTTGGCCTGCACATCCAATAATTGTCAACAAAGCCTCTGAACAAACCTAGGGTTGAATGGCTTTGACAGGCACCTTAGTAACTACAATATAAGTGGTAGGACTTATGACACTTCAAATGACTACCAATATGTTTTTACTACTTATGCTAATTAGGTGTTCTTTTCCTAAAAGTCACGTCAGCATAGATTTGGTCTTGAACCAATTCAATTGAGTTGTCAAAGGAACTATCTAAAAAATACAGGATGAATAGTAGCTAACTAACTCAGAAACAGATAAGCCAGAAACCTGTGAACTATCTTATCTCCAATTCTTTAGACCATCGTTTAGACCAATCATCAAACAAATAAAGGTGATATGACTAAACCGAAGGGCGTTGAAGGAAAACAGGATTTTGATTGGCCGCTGCTGATCTGTCTGTCTAGCTAGATATTAGTCATAATCAAGTAATGTAGGATGAGTAATTTCCGTACCTATTTTAAGACTAATTGTCATCCGACCGATTATTAACGAGTATTTTGTAGTTGAAATAGTGTCGAGAAAATAAGCTGTGTATCCCACGCATAAAATAATTGGCCAGTCAATGAAAATATTCAATTATTACAGTTCAATATTGGTAATACATGAAATACAGCCTTATCATGGTGGGTTTCTATAATACATTACATTATATTGGTAGTTTATTTCATTTCATCCTTATTCTCTTGTTCTGTTTTCAAAAATCATCTCAATAGTCGACATTTGTGATTGAACTGTTGCTCAATTGTATCACAACTCAACAGAACAGGTGCTCGTTGCCAAGCTACTTTGTTTTTCATACACTATTGTGCTACAATAATGCTGAGCTTGTGAATAAACAGTTTAAATCAGGTCTTATGTAGACTGCTGAAAGCTTTCTGTGTAAACAAACTATACATTTCCAACAATTCCTTAAGGAAAAAATGAATTGCCTAGTTCACCAGTAAAGTTGCTGAGATGAAGACTAACTGTAAAGCAAAAGGTGAATTGTATGGTTCTATCAAAAGATAAGGACTGTTGAAACACTTAGTGAAAAACATTTCAGTCTATATCAGCACTGATAGAAATATTTCAAGCTTTCTCTCTTCAAGTTGTTCTTAATTTCGTACGCACACCTCATCCAATGTTTCAGTAAACTTGATACACTAATGGTGATTTCTTAAGTTAGAAAGCACACACAAACATTCCCATTGATCAGAAAGTGAAACCAGTTTAGCAACTGGTAGTGAATACGTTCAGTTCATAGTTCGGTTTTAGAGATTATTAGCTGCGAAAACTAGAGCTCAATGGTGACTACTTCAAATGCAGTGCTGAATGATGGGCATAGTGATATAAGGAGTATCATTATCACCAGCTTAACGCCGAAAATCACAATTACTTAAGAACCAAATTTTCTACGACATACGACAATGCATTCCCCGAAACATTTAGTGTTTTAACAATAAGCAAGCAACTTACTCGATTAAGTTCTGTTGAAAGTAATTCATCAGGGGAAGGGTAGATATTTGGATAGGATTTTTTAATATCTGACCATGACAGCTGCTTTCCAGAAGGAAGGACAAAATGAGATTCATTTGTTGAAGAAGCACATGTAACTTGCTGTTGTTGAGATCTGTTATCGCTTAGCTTGATTGGTGTTACACACCAATTTTGATTGCGAATCTTTAAACGTGGCCTGAAGCAAAAGTAGTACGATTAATGCAACAATATGATGACCGTATATCAGCTCTACACATCAAAAGTTAATAACTAACTTATCTCTAGGAGAAAAAAAATTACCAAAATACTGAGGTCAGATAGATCAATATATGACAAGAAAATTGATCTTCAGACGAAAACCAAGTAATACTTTCGAGACTGATAAAATCTTTTACTACTTCATGAAGTGCTGATGACATCACTTTAATGCGTGTCTAACAAAGACTCTATCTACCAATCAACTATCCAGACATACATCTGTTAACTGTGCAGTTGATTGTCATCAAACTGATTATTACCAACAAATGTACTATGATGATAAATACAAAGTTACTGTGAATGCACATATTTAAGTGGTTAGACTCGTTCAGCTGTTCGATATGAGATTCAGTATGGATAAGGAACTGTAGCTAAGATCAATAGAAGTCTTATGTAAACTCTACTACACAAATTATAGTGAACATTTAGAGTGAAAACTAGTTCACACAATCTAGTAATATGATGGTGTTTGGTGTAATCAATGGATGAGTAATATCACCGTCAGGTGAAGGGTACTAGGTAAGTCGATTAATGAGGTTGTGAACCTTAGTCGATTGAGATAGCTGCGTTATGTACTTCACATGCACAGCTACAGCCTACCTCCCTGTGCTAGGTCCAAGGAAGTTGGATTACGTTGGAAGATAGTTCAGGGTGGTCAGACCAAAACCTGACACCAATCGATGAAATCTCTCACTGTTGATCTCAGATATGCGAGGAGATGCACAGTGCATGGTTGGGGTACCCCAGCCCAGTTGAAAATCGGTCACAACAACGTGGATGAATTCAATCGTTGACATCTCCTGAAGCAAGAATATTCGCACTAACCAGACTGCTTATTTGCTCACACTACCTGGTCTACTTTGATATCCGTTTGTTTCCATTCACCTATACTTTGTACACTACTGTGGCAACTTAAGCCAATGCATCAGTGTGTGAGGTGCGAAGTTGATTTTGTTAGACATTTAGTCATTGAGTAATATACGACACATTCACCCAATAATATTAATTATTATATGCCCGTTGGGTTCCTAGTGGAACATAGGACTTCAATAGTACGCCTCCATTGCACTCTGTTCTCTGCAGTCTTTTGAACCTCTCTCCACGACTAGCCAGAAGCATTCATTTCTTCCTCGCACGAGACGAAAGGAGTCAGTGGTTAGAGGGTATTAGTGATATGGCTGGAAATCGGTCACAACGGCGCAGATGTATTGACTCTTTGGCTTCCTCAAACCATCTCCTCCATGTCACCCTCAGAAGCCCGACTTGTCGTTCCCCCTTTGGATTCCACTCGACGGCCTGGCCTAGTGCGTGATGTCCCCAGTCGGCCTTCTCAGTGTATACCTAATCCAATCCATCTCCACTTTCTTCTGCATATTTGTTGGGTGATAGGTTCTTGGTTGGTTCGTTCCCAGAGTTCTTTGTTGCTTATTCTTTCTGGCCTTCTCATCTGATCTTCAGTATGGAGCCAGAGTAAGCAGCTGTTGATAAGTATCTATAGTTTGTTGGAAACGCCTTTCGTAAGGCACCAAGTCTCTGAAGCATACAGCAGCACTGACTTTACTGACATTAGTGTTGAAAATCCGGATCTTCTTCTTTATGCTGAGTTGAGTGCAGTAGATTCTAACACTTGTTTCAGGTTAGTGAAAGCCTGTCTTGCTTTTTCGATCCTGGCTTTGACGTCCTCATTTGTGCCATCGCCGCCTGTAGTTGAAACGATGCTAACTAGGTAAGTGCAAGAGACAACTTCCTTCAGGTTTCCCCGTTGATCTTGGTTGGTGCTTATTTTTCATGCTGTTGTTGGTTGGGTATTTGCATCACATCCGTATCCTCTGCATTCACTTGAAGTTCCGTCTTCGACGCCTCGCATCTTCTGCCAATTTGTTAGTTTTTGCCTGCAGATCATCGAGTTTGTGCAACACTAGATATCAATCACCATCGGTGAAATCCAAATCTTCTAGGCTCGTTTCATCGTTTCAGCCAGCGTATGTCCCTCTTCTTGATCCTCACAGTTTGTTGCATGGTCCAGTCCAGTTGAATCGAGCACAATCAGGAAGATCACTGGTGATAGTAGGCAACCTAAACTTCAAAGGCGTCCCTGAACCTTCCGTTGTGAATTATTTGGCATGTAGCGGCGTCATATAGCTGTTGAATGAGGTCGATAAAGATTAGTGGCACTAAAACCGTAGTATTGAAGCAGTATCCACATTACTTCTCGGTCGACGCTGTCGAAGGCCTTTACAAAGTCGACGAAGTTGAGATTTAGTTGAGTTGAATGCCATTCTGTATTCTATTCTATGATCACGCGTACTGTTGTAATTTGATAAGCACATGATTTGTTCTTCCTCAATCCACGCTGCTCCGGTAGTAACTGTAATTCCAGAGCATCTTTCAATCTCTCCACGATGATGCGACCTCACTTTTTGCTAGGGATGGACAATATCATAATTCCACGACAGTTACTCCAAAGGCTTAAGTCGCCCTTCTTTCCGCATCTGACAAGGTAGTCCTTCTTCGAATCGCCAGGTAACTCTTCTTACTCACTTACTTCCTTCCAAACATTATGCAACAGGGGTGTCAACATGTCCACTGTTATCTCCACATCTATGTTCAGTACTTCCGCTGGAATTCCATCTCATCGTACTGCTTTCCTGACTTTCAGAAACTTTATGGTGTTCAGGTCTTCACTTCTGCTTTCGCCAGAGGGCTTGTGTTCACTGGTAATTCTGTCGCTCCTGGTGGTATTTCTAAACGAGTTGTAGATTGTGATGGTGGTGTTAGTGGTAGTGGTGGACGATCCAAGAGTTTTTTGAAGTGGTCAGCCCATACTTTCCTTTGTTTCTCCTCTCCGACAACTAACTTTCCTTCACCATCATCTTTCATTGCTTTCACTTCGGTTTATCTCTTCCCAGATAGAAAGTAACCTGGTTATTTGATATAGTGTCGTCAGATATCTATCACTCCCACCTGCGGCCTGTTCTGCTTCACTTGCAAGTGTGTCGTAGAAGTGTCTATTGTCTTTCCACGCATTCTTCTTCACTTCCTTCTCCAGTCTAGTGTTTTATATACTGTATTCAATTCCTCTTTTCATTATTCATCCCTGCACTGTACTGTACTGCACTACAATGCACTGCAATGCAATGCACTGGTTCATCTTCTGATTCACCTTCACCATCACCATCTTCCTCTCCCTGCTCTATCACCTTCCATGTGTCCGTCGACATCCACTCCTTGTCTTCTTTCTTCTTCCTTCCTAACACAGTTATGCAGGTTTCCTTCCACAGAGCTTTCACAGAGTTCCAGTCTTCTTCCATACAGGTTCCTTCACAGATGTTGCTCAATCTCTCCCACTTTGTCCTGATGGCTGGCTCACGTGAAGATGTCCTTTGTAGTTTCATCCTTCACTTCAGTTTCTGTTCTGGGTGTTGAACTTCAACTGTGGTCTGTCATCACCAGTTTCTTTGAAGGCTTCCAACTTGATTTTGGAGGTGGGTTGTTTGCACTGGATAGTGAGTGGTGTGAACCCACATCTACTCCTCTTCTTGATCTCATCTTGTGTCCAGTAGGCTGCGTCTCCACTGTGTTCACATTGAGATGAAGTTGATCTGATTTTCAGTGTGTCCATGCGAGTTAGGCATTCATGTCACCCTACCCATTAGAATTCTGATGTTGCCATTTGGGGTGAGGTCTTGCCCATTACAGATCGAAGTTATCAATAGAACTCCTTCTTCTTCTCTTGATCTGCAGCGTTGCTGGGTTAAAACATTGTTCGGACATTCCATGTTCTCATTCTTACTTTTGCTTTCATCGAGAGAAGAGAAGACACATTGGCCAATTGGCTTCCCGAAGGCCCTCACCATCTGGCGTCATTCCACCTTTCCGATTCCAGCTAGGAATAAGCTTAATTTTATGTTTTATATTCCCTTTGTGCTTTGAAGTTTTCTTAGTGGTTAGATTGGTTTTACGAGGTATATTTGCTAGTTCTATGCCCAACCTTCCCTCTTTATCCGGTCTTAGGACCGGCTAGTAACTAGTGAACTAATTACCTAGGCGAGGTTAACCCAATTATAAACAGTACATTATAAGAATAAGATTCAGAATAACTGTACACTATACACAATTTACACCAGTCAGCAAGAGCGAAGATGATGAAAATAAGATAGGGCTATCATCAATCATTAGAAGATATCAGACAAGAAAAAAGTGATAATAAGGAAGTAATGATATATGAAAGTGACATTTTTAAAATGAAGATGCACAGACAATTTTTTCCATTCATCTTCCAAAGTACTAAAACATCTACTTCGGTTGCCTCAAAGACTCCAGGTAACAAGCCTACACGGCTCAGAACAATAGTCAGAAGCTATTTACATTATAGTGTTAAATATTGCTCAAAGTAACCTTAGATTTACTCCAACCTAATTTTATACAAGCTAGAAGTAAGCGTTCAGATAAAAGGTGACTCAATATTTGTAAATCCTTTCAGTCACGTGGCATAACTAATTAGAACAATCACTCACCTACCTTATCCACAACTGTGCCTCACTTCAACGTTACTCATGTGGTAATAAAATCACACGTGAGAAATACAACAGATCACGCACTTGATGCTGGGTTCTATAGTCATGCTGCACACCAAAATCGATTCATAATCACTACTAAGATACCACATCGACATATTATTTGGTGTAAGTTGGCAAAGACAGACGAACATTGGTGTACTCATATCGAAATCAGCTCAGCAACAACTTATCGGTCGGAGATGACGTAACTTCTTAGGTAAGCGAAATGAACAACGAACTCGAGCACTTCATTTGGTATGATCAAATTAGGTGTTGACCACTACATACGCGAAACAAGAGAGGGATTCCAAACGCTTTTATATTGTCATTCAGGGTGTTCAGAAGACTTTTCACAATACCTGGACTTTTGTGAAATAGCTTGATCACCAACCAGAAGTCATCAGGAAGAAAGGTGTGAAATTAGCAACCAGAATAACTAAGGTACGAGCTAGTGGTATGACAATCAGAGTTAGTCCTGCTAGACTGGTCTGGACCATAGATCATTCCAGCTTATACAACTACAGAAGAATCAGTGGGTAATACTATATCGAAGACCCAAGAACCTGTTATTAGGGCGCATAGAGGTGAAGCCTTGATTTTATTTTTCAGAGTTTATTAGTTGTTTACAAACCTGAAAATAACTTGTGGTTGGAGATTCATTGTTTGAAGGTAGGATGTCAACTATTTCACCCCAGTCATATTTCTGTATATACACTCAATTATAATTGAGTGTTCTAATTCATTAATGTTGTGATTCTTGAACTTAAATAGTGCTAAAAATTAAAACATGCAGTGAACTTGAAGTTCGGTCTTTTGATTTTGTTCACTTTAATTTGTGAATAAACATAATGAATCAATCGTACTAAAAGTCGTGATCTAAAGTAAACGATTCGACGACAAGTAGAATGTACAGTTAATTCAGACATATTAAAAAAATAGAATCCGCTCTACCCACCTCACTTCAGTTACTATTACAACATACGTAATATTTTCAACCATAAGTGAAAAACAGGAAACTTGATAACGCTAATCTGATTCGTAACCTATGAGAGGCACTGCAACACAAACATACAAATTAGCGACTGATACTTGCCACATATCTTACTTAGAATCCACATTCGACTATCTTCATTGAACGGCATTGCGAAAGTGTCAGACTGTTGGGAAGCCCTCAAAAAGTATATGAAGCTGATCAAAACTTCTAACTTGGAACCACACTTTCATTTAAGGGCTTACAGATGGTTTCCATGCAGGGTGATAACAATTAGTAAGATCCCACCGTCAGATAAACATTTAACTGTATACAAAAAGATGAATGTGCTGCGCACATGTCTACTCTGTTCAGTGTATGACCGTGAGAAATAACTGCTGAAGATAGAAGGTATAAGAAAGTCACATGGTTTTTATCATACGCATCTTAGCAGTATGTGCACGGGATGGAACTAGAATATAAGTAATTATAAGGTAAAGTAGGTCGGCTGATGAAGCTATAAACTTACGCCAACTAGAACAAAACCGTCAAGTGGACACTTAAGTACTTCCCTTTACATCTGGAAACAATCCTTATTAAATCGTTTAAACTTATGACTGTTTTCATCACCTTCAGTATTATAATACAACCTATTTTTGTTTTTTTAGAAACAATTTCATATTATTCCATTTCTGAATACAACAACACAATACTGATGAAACCCACACTACCGATCGATAAGACACCGTTATCTGTTTACAGTTATAGGAACAACTGTACAGTTTCAATATATGGAAGGAAATCGCTTTCATTGGATTTTTGTTTCTCGGTTTCTTTGATAAGTTCCGGTCTCAACTTGTGATGAAGACTACCTTGAATACAATCAATTCCCAGCAAAACACTAGATTTAGAAAGTAGGCACAACAAATCAAACAATTTACTAAATAGGTGTGTATCTATTCTCTTTGACAGATCCTTTTAAATTTCTCATATGTAACACATCAAATGAAGTATTTTAGCAGTAAAAGGAAGACAAGCAAGCGGAACATAAACCAATATACGTTCGTTTGAACAACTTTAAACATGGTAGTCAGGAAAAACTCATGGTGATTGAAGTGAAATAAAAATTTGGTCAGCAGTCGGACCCCACAGCTCAGCTGGTAGAGCATCGAACCGGAAACCCAGTAGTCACTGGTTCGAATCCCACAGAGACCCGAAACTTCCCTTTCAATCATCACCCAGTATCAATACTAGTCTCCCAAACCACGGCTATGTATGAAATTTTTCTTACACAGATACATTTGCTACTTATTATAGTAATAATGAATGAGATATATAGAAAAGTTACATGACTAGCTGGAATACAAATACACATTTTGACAACAATGAGATAGTCAATCAAACTACTACGATTCAGTTGATATAAAATATTGTTAAAGTATTAGTGGTCATTATACAATGAGTCACAGTGTAGTTGAGATGTGTTTTTCATCCGATTTTTCAATTCCTCAGAGGTATTTCAACTATTATTAACGAGATATCTTTACCGGTAGACACTCACTGTGCTCGCTTCAACCAGTTCCTCAGACAGTAAGACACTAATTTCATCATTCAGTCTACTGATCTAACTTCTAAAAGAGGAGTAGCACTAGATGAAATCAAAAGTCATGTAACACTACAATTTGAATTTTCTCAATTCCTTCACAAGTTGATAGAACAGTCTTAAAGGATCTGTTGTAAATTAAAGATTTAATTTCTTGACTTACAGCAACTGATTTTCAAACTTTGAGTCCTCACTTCTAACCTCACTCCGCTTATATTTAGCCTCAATGACCGAATAGTATGATAATCCATTGCACGAAAAATCTATACCCAGTGTGTTGAGTTGCTTTAAATTATATCAGTGTTGAACGGTTAAAGAAAAACACAGTAGTTAAAATTTATTGAAGTTACACTGTACACTTTCTCACATACATTAATGTGGCATAGACGGTTGAAATTTGCATCAACCAACTATGCCTCATTCTATGCATGAAGTGTCCAAATACCTAAATTCTGTAATCGTAGTAAGTATTATAGGGATATTTTGGTACTACTACTACTACTAATATATATTTAACTGTATATCTGTAATATTACCAACTGATTAATTTTATTTGTCAAAATCTCTGTAAATATCCTACAATAATTTCCACAGTCACTTTACCTACTTCAACTCTAAACGACTTGATAGTAACGTCAGATTTAGAAGACAGTCTATACAAAAGACAAAATATGCGTAATGTAGTGTGATTCTTTTTCTGCTCTGTACTACTGCTTATGGTACATTGATATATAAGAAAAGATTAAAAGGGATATTATGTATAACAATACATAAAACTACTTTCAAATGTTCTTGTAACTGTGTCATAACATTGTAGCCATGTGATCGTAAAATCACATAATATCACTTCTTTTTTTAACGTTGACAAGATAATCTATACAGATGACATTTATTCTGTACTTTTACCGGATAGCTGGTTTACTCAGTAGAAGAGAAAAAAGTATTCCCAACAAAGTGAACGAGGACTCTTAAATGGTAAAAATAAAATTTCGTAATTATTTTTCCCGTTGTATTACTGAATATAGGGTACCTCAAACGTGTCTTCATTATCATTTCCAACGCTTCCAATCAATGCGCCTACATATAAAGAGAAACTAATTAACTCCATTTAGTAAAATAAACAGTGAAAAATTACCGCGTACAGATAACAAAATCATTACACAGGATACATCTTTAGTGACTCAGTGACCTAGTGGATAACTTTGTTAGATTTGAAAAGATTAGTGTTATGCTCTAGACTCATTGAAAAGATCCAAAGTTGACTAGGATTCATGTAGATCTAAGTGGTGAGTTGAAAATAGGTCAAAATGTTCCAGGTCAGATCCTACACTGCACCAACTTCAAAACAAACAACTAGGCTTACCTATTCGATCGAAAATCTTCACAGTTAGACAAATTTATCACTAATCCAGAGGGAATGCATACAGCTTCTCGTATACTTGTTGAAAGATGATTCCAAAATGTCCAATTGTCATCTTTAATATCATTTTCATCTCTGACCTTTAAAATATCACTGATTAACCCATGAGACTGACGTCCAATTGTATGAAGACGACAAAAGTAACCAGTTAAATCGGATAGATGAAGAATATCTTCTGTTTTATTATTCAAATGGGTTTCTTTAATATATGACTGTAGTAATCTCCAAGCAGATTCAGATATGCACGGATGAAGCCATAACCAAATATGACGAAAATTATCTTTTGGCTGTAATATATTGTTCAAAAGAGAGATAATAATAATAATAATAATAATAATAATAATAATAATAATAATAATAATAATAATAATGGTAATAATAATAATGATATTTTATTAAACTTGTCTGCTACTGAATCTTTTTCGATCCAACTTAGCAGGAGATTACATTCACAATATGTGTGAATATTTATAATAACAACCGTTTTTGTTGGCGGTACGGACATGAAACAGATTTCAAATCCTTAATCAACAGTTGGTAAACGTCACATCTGCCGCACTAATGGACTGCCAACAATTTACATCTCATACCTTCTGTATGCAAGAAAATTGATGGCAATACAGCCACGGAGTCGTAGATGTGAGCTGCCAAGTTGTCCCATACTATGACGAAACAGATGTCTGGTGTTACTAGCGCTTCAGTGGTTCTCTAACTCATACCAGTCAATGGTAAATGACACCATGAAATCAATAAATCTTCACAAACCTTACCTACAGAATGGAATCATTTTATTCAGTGAAGATGCTTAGAAGATGGATTCAATCCAGTGGTTTGGTGGTTGTATGTAGGATTGATTACAATTATGAATGAGAAAAACATGACCTCAGCAACCACGTACACATTCGTGCAGTACGCAGTGAGCCACACCTATTGTGAAACTGTCTGGCTGGCTATCTAGATATCGTTTGGTGGAACCAGTTTTGAACCCATAATTCATCGGTTGCCAATCGAGTACCTAGACGTATGAGTCACAACTCCACCTACTTGATATTTCACCTGTCGAATTTCTCGTTTAAACATCCACTATCTTATGGTAATTTGATACATTGTTATTTGTTGCCAGTACGCATTCGTAAAATGACTCAGATCTGAAATTTTATTTAAAACAGTACGGTTTCGCGTGTTTACTACGTTTCGAAATAATACTCAGTTTATCTGTTTTGGCTGTAATGAAAGTATTACTTGTCAAGTTTAGAGACAAATAAATTTTAAAAACAAGTCGTCTGTATTTAAACTGAAGACAAACGAAGAAAATGAGTCGTCGGTATTGACTGTGATAATTAGGAATCTTGTAAGATAGAATCATTTAATTAACAGAGACTCAATCAACGAGTCCAACCTACATAAGGTTCGATTCCGAAATTAATGAGTTAAAATCAAGTGACTGATTTACGTCAGCTGAAGGAAAATTATCCAATCCTCTGCGGTATTCACTCACTCAACAGTTGACCCCGATATGAAACGAAAATAAATTGAAAATTTACACTATTATTTAATAATTAAACACCGCCTAGTTTACTATTTCACTTGTTACTAGCCGGTCCTAAGCCCGGATAAACAGCGAAGGTTGGGTAAAAAGCGAGCAAACATACACCGGAAAACCAATCTAACCGTTAAAGAAACTTCAAAGCACAAAGAAAATATAAAACATAAAAACAAAATTAATCCTCGCTGGAATCGGAGAGATGAAATGACACCGGTTGGTGAAAGCCTTCAGGAAGCCAAATAGCCGACGTGTCTTCTCTCGATGAAAGCGAAAGTAAACGCGTGGACATGGAATGTCCACACCATGTTTGAACCCAGCAAGGCAGCCCAGATTGCAAACGAGATGAGAAAGTACCACATTGAAGTGCTTGGAATTTGCGAAAGCCGATGGAATGGGAGTGGACTATCCAAACTGTCAACTGTAGAGTTAATAATCTACTCCGATATTGTCACCCAGACGACAATCACGAGCACACTGAGTTTTGGGGTGGCTATCATGATTTCCCCAAGAAGATCGAAGGCTCTCTCTCATGCAGTGGGATCCAACCTCCTCCAGCATCAGGATCATGACAGCAAGATTCAAATCAAAAGGAAGGAAAGTCACAAAAAAACAATGCAAATGCTACGCACCTACAAAGAAATGCAGATCAAGAGAAGAAGGAGGAATTCTATTGACAACTTCGATCTGTAATGGGCAAGACCTCACCCCAAATGGCAACATCAGAATTCTAATGGGTAGGGTGACATGAATGCCTAACTCGCATGGACACACTGAAAATCAGATCAACTTCATCTCAATGTGAACACAGTGGAGACGCAGCCTACTGGACACAAGATGAGATCAAGAAGAGGAGTAGATGTAGGTTCACACCACTCACTATCCAGTGCAAACAACCCACCTCCAAAATCAAGTTGGAAGCCTTCAAAGAAACTGGTGATGACAGACCACAGTTGAAGTTCAACACCCAGAACAGAAACTGAAGTGAAGGATGAAACTACAAAGGACATCTTCACGTGAGCCAGCCATCAGGACAAAGTGGGAGAGATTGAGCAACATCTGTGAAGGAACCTGTATGGAAGAAGACTGGAACTCTGTGAAAGCTCTGTGGAAGGAAACCTGCATAACTGTGTTAGGAAGGAAGAAGAAAGAAGACAAGGAGTGGATGTCGACGGACACATGGAAGGTGATAGAGCAGGGAGAAGAAGATGGTGATGGTGAAGGTGAATCAGAAGATGAACCAGTGCATTGCATTGCAGTGCATTGTAGTGCAGTGCAGTACAGTGCAGGGATGAATAATGAAAAGAGGAATTGAATACAGTATATAAAACACTAGACTGGAGAAAGAAGTGAAGAAGAATGCGCGGAAAGACAATAGACACTTCTACGACACACTTGCAAGTGAAGCAGAACAGGCCGCAGGTGGGAGTGATAGATATCTGACGACACCATATCAAATAACCAGGTTACTTTCTATCTGGGAAGAGATAAACCGAAGTGAAAGCAATGAAAGATGATGGTGAAGGAAAGTTAGTTGTCGGAGAGGAGAAACAAAGGAAAGTATGGGCTGACCACTTCAAAAAACTCTTGGATCGTCCACCACTACCACTAACACCACCACCACAATCTACAACTCGTTTAGAAATACCACCAGGAGCGACAGAATTACCAGTGAACACAAGCCCTCCGGCGAAAGCAGAAGTGAAGACCTGAACACCATAAAGTTTCTGAAAGTCAGGAAAGCAGTACGATGAGATGGAATTCCAGCGGAAGTACTGAAAATAGATGTGGAGATAACAGTGGACATGCTGACACCCCTGTTGCATAATGTTTGGAAGGAAGGAAGGGAGGAAGGAGGTGAGTAAGAAGAGTTACCTGGCGATTGGAAGAAGGACTACCTTGTCGAATGCATTTCCAAGAAAGTACAGACATACATCAAGAGTTGCCTACCCTGGCTCGATACTGAAGATCAGATAACCGAGAATAAAAAGCAAGAGGAAACTCTGGGAACGAACCAACGAAGAAGCCATAGCCCAACAAATATGCAGAAGAAAGTGGAGATGGATTGGACCGGGCATACACTGAGAAAGCCATTCGAATGCATCATGTCCCAGGCCCTTGAGTGGAACTCAAATGGGAAACGACGAGTTGGGTGTCCGAGGGTTGCATAGAGGAGATCGTGTGAGGAAGAAATGAAAGCTTGTGGGCAGTCGTGGAGCCAGGTTCAAAAGACTGTAGAGAAGAGAGTGCAATGGCGGCGTGCTACTGAAGCCCTATGTTCAACTAGGAACCCCAGGACAGATAACAATAATACAATAATTTCATCAGTTGTTCCTACTACCTTATGTTATTCAAACTAAACTGAGACTAAAGCGACTAGCTGTGCAACCATTATCATGAAATACGAACAAGTAAATACCATTCTTTGTTGTTAAATGTAGGCGTAATGCTGAGTGATTATGAGCGTGGTTAAAATGTGACGGTAAACCCAAACGATGATTGTTTAACTCCAATCTTGAAACCATTTCTTCTTTCAACTTCGGCTATATGCTCCGTATAAATCTGATAATTTTTTCACTTCATCGCTTCGTCATCAGTATGTTCTACCTCGCCCAGAGGTCAGGTGATTGGTGATTAGGTCGGAAGAAAGCTAAGGGTTGCCAAATGAAGATGCCGCATCAGTCCTTGAAGTTAGTAACTGTTAGTCTGAGGTATGTGGGGAGTAGGTGACTGCTTGGTTGGGACCCTTCAGATGACTGAAAATCAATGGCTGAAGATTCTTGGTGTCATAGCTCAAAAGTTGGCACAACAGCGGAGATGTAAACACACCTTATAACATCAAAAGTTGATAAATTTTCCTAAGTCTTTATTTATTTATGCACACCTGTCTCATACATATACTTCTGTCTACTTCAACGTCATTCTTTTTCTATCGGCTTCATGCTCCTGTGAAACAAGACAACTAGAACCGATGGAATTCTGTGCCACATTCTATGTCGGTATATCTGTCTGCTTTCTGTCCTTATTAATTAGTTTTTGAGGACTGTAAGGGTTGTGTTGAGAATCGCATTGTAAGATAAGAAAATCAATGTCAAAATGTGACTTGTTTTATACCCATCAAATAATAATTACTATCCATCAAATCTAACAAAATATGTCTGCTAAAATAGTTAATTCTTACCGGTGTAGGTTCGATTTTTATTGATAATGAATACTAGTGGAAACTATGACAACGTTGCACATAACAAAATATAATTATTGAAGACAGGCATTGAAGAGAATCAATATATCAATCGATTCAGAGTTTTCACACACAACAGAGGACAACGACAGTTTTAAGTGAATGTTTGCCTTCAAATGTGAACTCTCCAACAAACCCAGATATTAATGGAGTCGCATTTTGTGGTGATTGATAGCTTTCTTATAAGAAGCTCTTATCTTCTACATTACCAGGACTAAAAGTAGTGACAAATTATCGCTAGTGACATAGCATGATAATGGCACAACGATACAGAAACCGATGTTGAACATCAGCCCATTAACTCAGTAGGCGAACAGAGAGGAATTTGACGAGAGCAAGTATGAACGCTAAATTGTACAACGAAAGCGAGCAGCAGTGAAGGCGAAACTAAGGAGTAAAAACAATATACACTCAAAATCGAAATGTACTCAGCAAGTAGCTGTGGGTGACAAAAGCAAGAAAGATGGAGAACATGCAGAACATAATCAACCCTATTATGTTGCTGTTCATTTCAAACAAAAGGGGGAGAAATTGCTGTCATTATGGTATACTCAATCAAGGAATGAATAGCCGATAAACTCTTCGTTTGGTGAAACCTGTATTACAATAATATTAACTGGGGACTTTCTTTGCATAAAATACTCATATATTCTACATCCTTCATGCTTGTTGTTTTGTTTACTTTTGCACATCACTCTTCATCTTTCTGTAACGCATGCCTTATGTCAAACACATCAAATGGCTGAGTAACCAGCTTTGTTCAGCGTTATAATTGATGTATTCTCTAGTCAATACGTTTTCGTCGCCAAATTCTTTGTAATTCCAATTTCCGAGGACCTCAGGCAGGCAGCCTATAGCTCCTGCATTTAACGGCCATAGCTGACGATCATATAACAAAACAAAACGAACTGCAGCGCAGTATACTATTCGCTCATTAGGTAGTCAGATGTCTCCCATTCGGTGCCAGAGGTGACGAAAGTTGATAAATACCAAACGGAATTTCTGTACCCTAGCTGCGATCTCGTCCGCAACCAGCAAGATCAGGCTGATGCAACTCCTCCAATAAATGAAGTAGTTGATGCATTCTACCGCTTGACTGCCGCCTATCATTGAACTAGGAATAGTTACAAACAACTTTCGGAGTATGATTCTACATTTAATAGGTGTGAATTGGAATGATCAGTGATGTGGGTCAATCTGACAGCATTACCTTGAGTTTTCATATACAACCTAGTGAATCCGCTGCCCTACTCAGTGATTCCCTACCCCATCCTTAAAAACCTCGTGTGGGAATATGCATCAGTTCCTGGTGCCTTCCATCATTTCAGGTTCAAAACAACGTTCTCAACCTCAAGGAGGGTTGGGTGACCGATATCTATTTGTAATTCAGATTCAAGCTGCACGTTGGGCAACTTAAGTGTTCTTGCAGACCAGTTGAACTGTATTTCAAAGTGTTTAGCCTAACATTGTGGCCGCCCACCCTAAGAGGTTAACAGCGCTTCATACTTTCCGATGATGATTTCGCTAAGCATCGTCTTCCTCTTCCCGGTGTACTTCATAAGCCTAAATAGTTGGCGGGTGTTACCAAACGATGACGCTCTACTCCGTCTCTTTTGCTTTCGCCACTCATCATTTCTAGTGATTATTGAAAGACTCTTAGACAACTTACGCTCAAGTCGCTTTTGCTCCTCATTGTGGTCAGAGCCAGTCTTTTCGTGTCAGTCATTTCGGATGATATTGTGGAAATTAATTGACGTTCGCTAACTTTTGGAGGTAGATTGCCATTCGTCTTTACCGCTGTTTCTACAGCAGACTTAATATCACACCAGGTTTCCTCCGGATGGTCATTCCTATCGCCTTTAGATAAATGTTTAGTAATCTTCGTAAATAAGTACTTGACATCTTCATCGTCCAATCGAGCACACACAGGGCCCACTGCCATGTGCTTTTTGAAACATAAACATACCAATGCCAGTACTAACGCACGATCGGAGTCCAAAAAGGTACTCCAGAAATAGTGGTGATCCTCTCTAACGATGGCTTATGGCAATATGATCTGTCTGTGTCCATCGTTGGTTTGATGTTGATGGACGCCAGCTTGGACAGTGTGCCTATGCTTGAAATGAGTGCTAGTCAGAAACAAGTAATTATCGGGGAAAAAAATGCAATGAACGATCACCGTTGTCTGTTCTTTGGCACAGGATTGCGTAGATACCTACAAGATGTCTTTCCGATCGGCTCAGCTTCCCTACTTGAGTGTTAAGGGTCATCTCGATAAGTTGAGTGGGTTTCGAAGCTGTAAGCCATCAGTTCAAAGGCAAGTGTTTAAACCAATGATCCACAGCTCCAATTCAAAGACCAGAGAAAGATACTGGAGTTCACTAGGTACTATCACGAACCGATCAACAGTGGGTAGCCGATATAACTGCTTACTCCTTGTTGTGCAGCACTGACTAAAGTCTACCGACTGAAATTGCAATGTAAGTACTTAGCTAAATCACGTTACGCTGCAGTAGACTGTATTTTTGGTGCTACAACTTGAAAGTAGATTTGTAACATCAGTTTCCAGATAGACAGAGACACTTTCTATTGATGAGTGTCAACAATGGAGAAACCTAGGACCAGGGTTTCCTGACAAATGACTACAAACATCTGACTAAATATTTTTCGAAAAGCAATGTCTATTGATGCTAATAATGAGAAAAACTATTCAAACCATATGATTGTATTGTTCGTCATGCCAATTTGAGGGGAAAAGTAGGTAGTTTCACGAATCAGCGAAATCAGTCAAGAAAGTTTAGTTAGGTATAATTGTGTTACTATAAAGGTAAATGCAACAAAGTCGAATAATTCCCCGATATTCAAAAGTGGATGAGTAGTCCCAAAATAGTCCTAGGTACTGGTTAATACATCAAAGTCACATAAAGTTATTTCAAACTGGCCTTCATCGATGACTGCCCACAATTACTGAATAAGTTCATTGTCTATTTGTAGAATACTGGAAAAATTAGAATATAGGGAAATCGTTTTGTCAATTTTGAAGTTCATAGGTGCACTGTAGCTCCTCTGGATTGGATTATTCTACTCTACAGCAAGGGAGTAAATCGACGGAAGCAACAAAGAAAAATGCAGATTCGTCCAATAGGCAATGGGCCACACCTATTTTATGAAGGTTGAAGTCACAATCTGGCTGCTATAACCTCGGCAAATGGAGTGAGACTAGAACCTATGTCCCACCGTTTGACAGTTGACCGCTCAAAGAAATGAGCTACAGCTCCCATAAGCAGATCTGTAGACAGAAGTTAACCTACACTCTGCAATGCAAGCACTTATATCAAATGAGCTCTAACAACCAATAAATTCAAGATGGAAACCCTCTTCCAACGTAGTCCAACTTCCTCTAGCATGGGGACATCGAGATAGGCTGTGGCTAGGCATGCGTAATACATGTCGAAAACACTTTGGTCGACTAAGGTTAACAACCTCATCGACTGACTTGTCTGTTTTGCTTAGAACTCTTCGTCTGATCTCAACGTCTCTCACAGGTTGATTCCACCAAGCACGAACAAAGCTACAAAGACATCTGTTTTCGAAACCCTCTAACTGCTTCATGTCTCCTACTTTTAACAGCTGTACAACAGGTTGGAATGGACTGCAGCGCAGTGTAATCTTCAGATATGCAGTGACAAACGCCAAAAAGCCTGTCATCACGTCACCACCTTCTAGTTTTCTGCAACACTTGTTTATTTCCCTCCATATCTAACGATCTTCCTCTTCTGAATCTATAGCTTACATTTACAGGAAGGAAATAGACTATTCAAATAAGAAAAGTGAAACTGATTATCTTATGGAGTAAATCCATTTCGATACCTTGTGGTCAGTAACGTTCCAGAATATAGCGGCAGAAATTCATCTACTTTTAGCAGACCTTGAATAATGAGTATCTTATCAATAACTTAAACTCAAATGACCAGTGAAAGTAACAGAGTAATATTGGGATAAACAGAAAAGCCTAGTCTGGAGAGCGACCAATCAAAATGTAGTCTGTGTTATCACGTCTACGGCTAGACAGACAGACGGTGGATGAGCCAATCAATAGGATTATTTTAAACAGCAAACTATCTATATATTAGTTGTACTTTCTTTTGGGTCTTTAATCTTTCGACCTCGGTACACGTTTATACAAGTCCGTTGTGTCTTCTCCATTAGTTAGTTGGATCGGGAATCAACTAGGAATTTGTTGAATGTTGGTAGTAGACAGTCGATATCCGTGCATCGTCAGCGGCCATAGCACTTTCCGAAACAACACAAAAGGTGTAAAGCCGTGATATAGATGGTTACGAATACTCTTATGTCACTCAAAATGACAGTATTACGTAAACATACCTTTTCTGCAATAAAGGATAACGAAATATTTCCACTTCAAGCGGTCCGAAAAAACTATTCTAAAGGAGCTATTTAAACTAGTCTTTAGTATCTTAGATAAAAAACTGCGGTAGGTGTCAACTAGTGCATTGATAACCGATGATATTAAATCCCAGTGTCCAATTACCACTAGTAAAAACAGCACCCGACAGCCAAGTATAGGTAGATGTATTAAAATGATGCAACGATGCAACTAATCGACACCGACTATGGTTGGCATACTTCGTCCATACTAGTGACACGAATGCCAAGATGAAGGTATATCAGTTTATGCATAAATAATCAACCTACAATAGATGATACTGTGATTTTTTTCAAATATATTTTCCTACATTAGATATACACTGATAAAGATAACAGGAAACATACCGAATTTCTTGAACCCCATAAAATGCGAACAGGACCAAGTACCGGTCGAGAAATATGCTGCACACATTTAGTAGTTGTATATAGAATCCCAGTCTGTTCACACGATTGAACTGGTGTTTTCAACTCCGTCAATTCAGGAAGCAATGACTCAACCTGACAATCTAATTGGAATATACAATTTAAACAATTGGATATCATGGCCTCAGGTCCATATACTTGAAAACAGTTTAAATAACTGAAGTCGAATAATAAACAACCACTATATTTTTAAAGAAAAGAGCGGAAAAATGTGAATTTATAAAGACGATCAAAATATTCAACATAAATTCAATAGCAGCATCCACAGTTGATCTTAGAGATTAAAAGTAATCAAAAAATAGTGAAAGTTGAATAGTTTTAAGGCTTCTCAACCGCTCTCTTTTCCGAAGAATTGAAGTGAAACGATATCGATTACAAACATCCAGTTCAAAGTTGTTACGGATGTCCTGGAAGAAAATGTGCGCCTAGTCTGATCTATATACGTGAGTTTTGTAATACAGCCCCAGTGTACTTCATGTTCAACCTTTAGCTACTAGGTTGCCCATTCTCATTGATTTCATCTCGGAAAAACTAAACAGACTTTAGATGCTCGACAAATACAGCTTGTGACTAAGAATTCCAAATATCTGATCAACCAGTTTACTACCATGTATCACCATACTGAATGGGAATCCTAACCACCATTAACCCCTATCAACCTATTTGTATTTACCATACCACAAGAGGTCCAATCACTACAATGGTAACCATTCACTCTTCTGTTTCTCTCTTTCAGTAAATAAGAGCTGATTCATGGAATAGTAGACAAGACATGCCAAAAATGCGAAGGCTGTAAAACTGCCTATATTTTAACAAGTAGGAATGGATTCAAAGTGGTGATCAGATGGAAATTGACTGCCGGGACCAATAAATCACAGCCATTATCATTCATCAAACTAGTGGAAAAGAAAAAACTGAGTTGCCAGGCGCGCCAAGTTGAGGATGATCATCATCCCTTCAATAGAATGACCTGATAACAAGACACTTAACCTAGATGCAAATAAAAAATATTTTGCTACTGTCGTTTTCTATAAGTCAGTGAAGTAAACAATAACTTGATTAACTTACTTATGGGATGCTTTATGACATGCTTTGAAAATTTTATTTGTCGGAGAATACGGTAAACGCCAACCCCATTTTGTAATCATATGAAATCGTTTCGCATGCCAAATATGTGTTGGTAACCATGCTGGCTTTAGATTTTGTGAACTGTTTTGGCATCTATTTGTCATGAAACGACTATGTAAAGCCAAAAGACGTAATTTCCGGCGACGATAACGACGAGATTTTAATTTCTGCTTACACACTGATGACTTGAGAAGAATAAAAGAATATACTTGAGTTAACTGTGGTAAAATGTTACATGTGTGGGTCACAGTATTAGCTTAAGAGTAACACTAAATACGAAAGGTCAACTTGACTCACAAATCAAACGAGTGTAACCAACCTAGATCAGTGCTTCAATAAAGGTAGACAAACAAAAGGGGAATAGGTATCAACAAATAACGATCTCGGCATTCACCATTCTTACCAAAACAAAACACACACACAAGACTAATAAAGGATCAGGTATCACTGAGTAACTGTTCAGGTTTCCAATTCTCATATCAGCACATCAAGCGAGAAAGCAATAAGATGAACGGTAAGAAAGTGGAGAAGAAAGTAGCCAAGCGTGGTAGGAAAGAATTTAAAAATACTGGATACAGTATGACAATTAAGATGGGAATAATGCGTAGATAGATCTGCACCACTGATATCTACTCTGAGTCATGTCACCTTGAGTCTCCGACCACCAATTTTGGTTGTCGCGTGGACAATAACCACAAAGTCTTCGTTTCTATATACACCTCAGGCTAACAGATAAAGATTTCAGGGAATATTGCTATGTTTTAATCTGACCACCTGTATCCATTTTCTAGTCTGAACCTACTTAAACCAACATTGCACGAAAACGTAGATGGTGACTAGGCATGGAGCAGCACATATCTCACCCACCTCACGACCTCATCCACTGACTGACTTCCTTCTACTCTCTAAAACTCCGCACTTGACATGTACGTTACTGATGTTGTGACACTATGAAACATTGCCTATGCTACGAAGGCAATGGTCGTCGAATACCTGAAGTCTACTCATAACCTCTACTTTTAGTGGCCATGTTTAACATCCACACAGCAGAGCAGAAATAAGTGCAGCGCAGTACACTCAGTCCCTAACAGAAATTGCCACTCACGGTATCCAAAAGACTGTCTTGTCAGCGTCTGCACCTAACAGAACTTAATATTTGCATGTTCCAGATCTACCAAGCATTCTCTTGTGACAAGGTCGATCCCTGCAAAGTCAAATGGGACAAAGACCTCCATAAAAACGAGGTTCCTTGTTCCTGACCTCTAGTCAGAGGTCTGATAATTATAGAAACTATACACTGAGACACTACGTTAGTCAGGTTGATTCCTCTGTGGTTCTCACAAGAGGACATCTAACCATTCTTGAAGAATGAGAAAAACATGATTGAGACCAGTCGAAGGGGGGTCATATCTCACTCCCATACACTAGTTAATACTCCAGTTATCTGATTAATTATCCTCTGCCACCGTCGGGTATTATTGCGCCTAGTCCTTCCTATAGCTCTTTCTCAAATCAGTCTACCTACAGCTTTCTTGGCTTTTGAAAGTTTTGGGGGTTCTATTTAGATGTTCCATCCAGGCTCCAACTCGGTAATGAGCAACGAAATAGTAGCTGGAGGCCAGGTGGACTGTTCCTCAGTATTCCACACACCGTTCAAGTCGTCTCAGAATATGAATCATAAACACCTCCTCCTCTGCAACATGCTCACAAACCACTGACATTTTCGCCCCGGTTTCCTTGATAGGTCTACATAACTGTCTGAAGTTACGTGTCATCGCTGCCTTTTCCATCTCTCTAGCCTTTGCTACCTACCACTGTTCGCGGTCATTACGTAGACGTTTTATTAGTCTATGCTTGAGTTGTATTCGCACCTCACTGTAGTCGCAGTCAGCAGGGATGCGTTAGTATGCATCCATTAATTCAGAAGAAGCTCTTGAGATCCACTGGCTCTTTTTAAACTCTCTGAGAGTCAGCTACGGTCTTCTACACTCCCTTTTTTAGCAAACTGAAGATGGCGCCATGGTTCTTCGAGAGAAGGTTTAAGACAAAAAGGGAAATGAGATACGAGAGAAAAGGGTTGTGATATTATTGTGTAGTTAGATGTATTGCGTGGGTCCATCTGCCCCATTGCGAATACCAGTCATAATACCTTAGCCTACAGCCACTGAGTCTGATTTTCACGAGGATAGCATTTAGGAAACATACACCCCTCTACACTGTTCCGACCAATCAGCTGGAGACTTCAGGAATCGGTGTCAAGTTTAAGTTTGATGTTCCTTAGTTTTTCTCTAATTTACACCAAGATCACTGAACTGCAGGTTGACAGAAGGTATCAGAAAGAAATGATTAAAAAGTTTTTTAATGAAGATCACAAGGAAATTGACAAATACCGTTGAACGGCTGTCGAATTAGGAGAATGGTTTTATTATGTTTTCTTTCTTAACACTAGATACGATTACAAGCAAACTTCTGTAAACTCTTCATAATGCTCACCTACAATGTTGTACGTACGTGTATGTCGATTGACAGATTAAACCACTCAGTACAAAAAGAAGTTAGACTTTAAAATCTAACAAATAAATGAGTCACACAGTCATCATTCTACAAAAATTTAAAGGCAGTTAGAAATGGGCTTAATGATGGCAAAGAACTTACATATCGAACTAAGGCGCCGATCGAGGAAATCATGCTAGGAGTACGATTGTGGCTAACATCTACAGTTTTTGAGTTTCAAAATAAAATATATAAACAAACTGAAGGGGTTGATATAGTATCACTAATATCCCATATCGTTGCAGAAATATTCTGGGTAGTTGGGGACGGATGGCCCTTCAAACATTTAGTCCTACTCCGAAGATATACTTCCGATATGTAGATGATACATACACAGTACTGACATCTGGACACATCAATAGGTTCTTGGCACACAAATTCAGTGGCGAATACAATCCATTTTAACAGTGACTTAGAAATTCATGAAGGTGAGCTAGCAATGTTGGATTACAAGATTGAACGAACGCAAGATGGAAGTTTAGACACTAGTGTCTATAGGAAACCTTTACATTCAAATCGCTACTTAGACTTCAAATCCCCTCACCAGGTTTCACTTAAAGTAGGCTTAGTTAAACGCCTGAGTGATAGGGCGAAAAAGCTAACTAGTAGGCCAGAAAATCTACGACAAGAAATAAGATACATTAAGAACACTTTGCATCTCAATAATTACCCACCTAAATTTATAAATAAACTCATAAATCGAAAGAAAAGTATTAGCAGTAGTAGTAGTGCAGGTATTATTAATAACAATTCTACTACTAATAGTAACAATGGTAACTGGGGTGACAGAGAATTCAAAGCCTCTGCTGTATTACCATATAAGGAAGGCACCTCAGAAGCATTACGAAAAATTCTCAATAAAGCTGGGATTAGAGAGGCATTTAAACCAACAAACTCGCTTCGAAACAAGCTTTGTAGGTTAAAAGATCCTATTGATGCAATTGAGTAAAATATTCTGACTTGCCAAATCCCTTGCAATGATTGTGAGGTCAAATACATTGATGAAAGTAGTCGACAAGGGTGAACAAGGATAACAGAGAACAAAAACTTAGCTAAATCAAGATTAGTAGATCCTAATAAGATAAATTTGGAGAAAAGCTTGGGTATACCTCTGCACGCAATAAGACATTAGGGTGGGATAGGGCGGCAACAATAAAAACGAAATTGGGTGGAGGGAGAGACTGATAATCGAATCTTTGTCTATCGAATAAACACCGAAAACATGCAACCGAAATGATTCTGCAACTGTCCCAGATATATAGAAAATTCTGTTACCCTTTTCATCACAAAGAAGAGAAAATCAGAACTATTTAAACTGTCTCAAAGTTGTGGAGTCGCCTGATATGAACGTGAACAATAATTGTGTCCGAAAAGTTATCCATTAAATGATAATGTTTCACTGTTTGACATTATCAATAAACAGACAGAAATGGAATTACAATCTGCCACAGTGACCAAATTTTATTCCTATATTAAAATTTAAAATGGTTGTCTAAAAATGTTCACATAATTAGTTTTTAGGTTTTTCTGGCCTGAACGAAATTTTCGCTTTTTCCAGATATCTGAGTTTTTCAAAGCATGATTGAAGATATGACGTAACTAGTAAACAGTCATTCAATGACATAAGTGGGCTATCCTGTAAAAGTCTACAATGCAGACAATATATGCCTAACCGACCTAAACTTCTTGATTCAATTACAAAATAACAAATACCAAAATACTATTCTCCCAGAGAACTGTAAGATTAACTTTTGTAAATAACCAAACGTGTTTGTAAAAAACAGATCACTTAGTACAGACAATAAAATGCGCAAAGACCCTCCAAAGCATTATCCCCGGAAATAGTGAAAATTCAAACTAAATCCATTATTTGTACTATGATCAGATTTCGTAGTCATTTACTGGGAAGCAAATTTCACATTTCAATATTATCAGTTACTTTCCTTCTTTTTTTTAGAAGCAAACTAATGACTCAGGGATTATCTTCTGATTTAGAGACGTAACTGCAGTGACACTAATCTCTCATAGTCAATCTAACAAATGGATACTGAATTAGTAACAGTACTTGGGTCGCCTATTTGCAGTCGACCAGCCTAATAAACTGTCAAAACAAGTCGAATCAAAATGCACTCGGCAGCCTTGTGCACATTCGTACAGTAGGTAATGAGCCACACCTATTGTGTGATGGCTAGTGAGACTACATGGCTGCCTAAACCTCGATAAGTGGGGTGGGGCTCAAACCCTTGACCCATCGGTTGAAAGTCAAGACACGTATGCATACATTTCCCTGTTTCATCGTTTCGTGCGACTAACAAATAATATTCAGTCAAACTGAAATATAATCAATAATAACCTAATTCGTACACCCGATAGAGGCCTCTTTAATAGGCTTATGTTACCACTTAACTGCCCAGACGAAATTAGGTGGGGTGACAATTTGAATCTTGTTCCCTTCCCTTCAGGTAGAATGCCTAAGCTAATTGGCCATAATTCCATTTCAAATACTTCTCAATGATATTTACACGAGTCTCTAAATCAACTTTTAGAATTTACTTCATAAGACTGAATTTCAAATGATATTTAAACAACCGAATAAGAGGAATGATATTTCTACCTCAGATTGAGATCCATTATTATTCGACGTTGAAAGATGATAATGTCTATGAAAACGACGAGGTAATCTATTCACCCGATGACTTGCAGCACGCCTTCGTAAACGAACTGGAAGACGCTGAAGTCCTGTCAGTGCAGAAGCAGTTAAAACATCAACACTCGATTCAAATGCTGCTAATTCGGCTCCACGAACTGTCGCTAGACGCAGAACATCATAACATGCGAATTTTCCATATTTTGAGTCTGATATATCATTCACTGATTTGAAATCCATAGTAAGATCTAGATTACATAACAGAAGAAAGGGAGAAAAATTCAAGAAACATAGCTTTGGGCAATACTTGTGCATACTACAATATATACTAGAATACAGATTCAAACTTGTGGGTTCTTAATAAAACCAGCAGAAGTCTATTACTACACACTAGTGATCAGTATTAAAATGCCAGTTAAAAGAAGAAATAGAAAAAAGTACAAATTTTGCATGTGATACTGTCTAGTTTTGTAACACAACAAGGTGATAAGCTGTAGGAAACCGTTAAAGCAAAGTACACATTCAAAGGACACATCAGCTTTTCACACTGATAACGAGCTTATATTGTTGTATTCCAGTAGTAAACTAGTTTCACCGTGTACTAGACTTACTGATTGATTATCTGCTTTGGAGTTTAGCGCTAATTCAAAAAGTTGTTCAACAGAAGTGACTATGTTTAAAGAACAGTATTTAACTTTTGAGAACAAGAAATTCGCAAAGGATAAATTTTAAATACCGAAAATCTACTCAAATGCATCCAAGTTAGAATTTGACACACACACATAACTATGTGCTAGTTTAAATTAAAGAATAAAATACTGATCATAAGAATAAATAGGATATTGCTTCAGGTTTAACAGCGTATAATCATGCTTATATATATATATATATATATATATATATATATATATATATATATATATATATATATATATATATATATATATAACTGGAAACCAATTGAAAAGACATTTGCATATCCCCTGTTATTAATAATAGCGTCAAAAAGTAAATATATTTCAAAGAAAGTCACTACATGGGAAATTGGATGTAATGCACGTTAAGTTGTGAAATGCGTAAGCTATTCTACAAGATAAGGTGGGATAAATATTCTATAAGCTACATCTTAATTAGAAACTAATGATCTCTTTCAGGTTGGTGTTTATCATGAATTGACATCAATTGAAGAATCACTGAAAAAATATGCGCACTGGACAGCTCTCTCTCTCATCCTAGTATTTGACTTCTCGGTATTGCACGCCCATGACCCCACCGGGAATCGAACTCACGACCTGCGGGTTCCACGGCCAGCACGTTACTATTGACCCACTGTGTCAGAACCCAATGATCCACATTTCCTACTTCTGTCAGTTAATTATATAGCGCGACCCTCCATCCAATACCATCGTTGAGTAAGTGGTCTCACGCCTAACTTGGTTTACCACCCCATCGGTCACCACTTTCATTAGAACTTCGAAAATCTTATCTCGAAACAAGTCACTAATGAGCACTATAGAGTAATTCAGTTTGCAGGTTGATGAAGATTTATTTATTGACTTCAGGTTGGTATTCAATAACTTTCTGACATCACTTGGAGAACCATGGGAAACCTGGGAGCACTAGATTGAGAGTGCAAACACTTTCTGATTCTTTTAGTAAGTGATAAGAAGATACATGGTAATGCGAAAAAAAATACATCATCCGATCAAAAATTATTCAACCTAATGTATCACCCACCAGTTTCCTTTTTCAATAAAGTGCCTAGAATACAACATTTGTGTATGAAGACAACTTGAATGGATACATCACATCGACTAGAATGTCACTGAACAGCTGTTGTGTCCTAAGTCAGAATTTATGGGTTCAGTGGAAGTTGAGCATCGACATCATATGATGGATATACGCTACTGCAATAAATCAGTAACATAATATAACTCAACCTCAATAATGCTGATACACCAGACTACAACTTACACTTAGTATGACGACCCATGATATTTCTCGACCGCCCAGTTCGAAGTATGTGACTACAGCTATACGATAGGCGCTGGAAAATATAATGTACTTCGTCCCGAATAGATAGCTGAATACTAACATACTAATAAAAGGACCTATAGGTCCATGGCATCATCATGTTTGGAGTTCGTTACACAAACGGTTGGAGAGTATTAAACGAACAATAAATGGCTATCAAATGTCTCATAGTTCTTATTAACTATCCAAATCCCAGAGAAAGGTATTTCCGCTCTTTTGTGATCACGCTGAAAATATAGAGTTTAAATGGTCAAACTGGTCAAATTGTCTTGATTTTTGCTGGCTGGTATGTAGTAATATAAGTAAACACTTGATAATTCAGAAAGTACATGCTTTACATCAACATTTCTCATGACTGAACGCTTTGGAACCAGTGGTGAATAAAACAGGTTGATAACAAAGGTAGCAAGTTGTATCACCAATGACAACTAAGGGGTCACAAAATGAAAGAAAAGGGTCAGAAGCACTAAAAAATGAATTTATTCGAGCTGATGAAGATACAATGACATCAAGTTACTATGGTATACACAGTCGCTTCTGTATTACAGACCAGGCAGGTAGACATGATGGCAAACAGCGGTTGCTGGTATACTTTCTCGTTGCTGAAAATCCGTTGGACATCTCAACTGCCTAGTGCCTACGCAAAAATGCAACATTTGTCTGTATCAAAGAAAACAAGAAGTTAGGAAATAAAATGAATCTGCCCTACTCAGTAGAATTTTGTCTAAAATGGGAAATCCTTCCAACATTGTGTACTGAATTCAGTGCAACAGTCGGTTCGCGATACAATGAAGTAGTAGACGTTAACATAAAACACATATAGGATAAAATGATTACATATCGACAAAGTCAAAGTAGTCAGAAGAATGAAAATCAACGTTGTAGCCATAGCAACCAGCACTATTTCAAAAATATTTCACCAAGTGTATGACAAACATTCTCCCAAAACATGAAAGTTCATCACTTATTCCGATTTTTCTTTTAGAATAGTGCAGATGAATAGTCAATAACGAAACCGCTAAATTTCATTCCAATGTCAATGTAGAACTCATACTTCAGAGACTGATGAACAAACATGAATTTCATAATGGCATAAAATCTCGGCTCCATCACTACACTTTGTAGATTGTGAGAGATCGAGAATATTTGATCATCGAAATCTTATCAAAAAGTAAACCAACACTTCAAATGATCAATTATATCCATGAAAGGTTAATGGACTGTGAAAGGAATCGACTCATTACAAATAAATGTGTAATGATATTGCTGGTACTTTCCAAAAACAGGTACATCCAGCTGACGAGTCATAAATAGAAGGAAACACGCGTCCCGGATTTCACTGCTAGTCACCAAGATGAATATAACATAGTTATAGTCAATTACTACAAATGATATTATTATCTATATGAAAGTATATCAAAACACAGTGAAGCATAAAAATCACTTTAAATTCATAAATTCACATTGTAAATGAGTCGAAAAATGCAAAAGATAACCAATACTTATTATTCATAACAGCAATGTATTTTATTTTCGTAAATCTAATAACTTTCGATAAATACACACATATGTATACTACTGGTGATAGCTGTAATAACAGCAGTGTGTATAATCACACAGATGATAACAGTGAACAAAAAACACCTAATAGGAGAAAAGGATAAAATTGAAAGAAAATAAAAAGATCAAATAAAATATGAAGTGGTGATAAACAACACTTTAATACTCCGTTTTCCTTCACAAGAACAATTTTCACTCAGGTAAGAGATAAGTTTAAAAACAAGAAACACTAGAAAATGCCCTAATACTAGAGTACTTGAAAGAAACCCGACAGAATAAAAGTTTGAACACATACGAAAAGCATATTCTTTCTGTCTTAAACACAACTCAATACATAACATGAGGGGGAAAAAATTGGGAGACCAAAGTGTAACATTACTGCGCAATCAGGAAGCATGTTCTGATTAATATGTATATGTTCAAACACACACACATGGCTGAATCCGACTTACTAACTTCCGTCTATCAAGATAGGTAGTCCAGCGAAGAATAGCTGGTGGGTCAAATAAAAGCCAGAAAAACTGTAAACGCAAAAAAAAAAGCATTTTTGCAACCATTTATCATACAGACAAAAACATTAATACGCGAATAAGAGTTTAAGTGTCTGTATGCAACCTTCACTATTTTGCAGCTTGAGTTTTATGAAAATATTAAGATAGGGAAAGAAAAGAAACAAACGCTTAATTTTTACACTTTGTTATTTACTGTAAGTCTTTTTCTTTTGTATGTATTCTTGAGCAGTGACAAAAATATGTATGTTAGAAGAATAGCGCACGGTGCATGATCGTCATTGTCATAGAAGTACAATAATATTCGTAATACGTGCTGCCAATAATTGTGCACTAATTATCATAATTTGGAGTACATTACACACTACTGTTGGGGAGGGATACCACAGTTTCAAAGAATCATTATAACGATAATAACCGCATATGAGGAATTTACACTTCTCACACACATTTGTATATATGTACACATAAGATTCATCTATGTGCGCTTGTGTGCAATTGTTCAAATCACAAAAAAAATGTGAGAAATAAAGAGAGAGAGAAAAGTGAAACACAGTTAGATAGGTAGCGAAAGAGAATAAACTGCATAATTATGCAGAAGATATGAGTATGGAAACCAATAGACATTTCAATTCACGACATTCCAAATCCTTTGCAGTGAATAATTGCGAGTAAAAGAGATTGTTTCAACTTTTCTAAACTTTCATATTCTGGTAATAAGAGAATATTGAAGCAGGTATGAGCAGATGGCAACCTATGAGGTGAAAAGATAATTTTTTAAATAGGATTAATAATATTAAATTCAAAACATCGAAGAAATGACAGTAGGAAAATTATTATGAAAGTAATTCTCGTCATGATCTCTCCTAACACACACAAACACACAGTGACCATTATTTTATACGTAGTAATCAACGTTATGATTTCTGAACGAATTTTAACAGGGAAGAATTCGAACAGTGGCATAATCAAAATGACTTCATAATGCACTGAATTTTGGAGTAAGTCATCAAGAGATTCCAGTTGATCTAAGTAGGTACCAGTAAAAGTATCACTTCATCCTTCTAAGAATATCCATTTTATCAGTAAATCAAGAGTCTGCACTATGCAAAATATTCAGTTTACGACTTTGATCATTAAAACCAACGATTACGTACAGATTTGTTTGCTAGGTGGTGAACTTCACCAAAATACTATGTGAAGACTGTGAAACTTAAATAGCTGTCCAAACATGGATAAGTGAAGTGAGGTTCGGAAATATAACCAAGTGATTAAATGTTAAATACCTACTCGAATAAACCATAGCGACAACAATGAACTGCCCAAAATGTGTCGTGACCACAATGACTCCCACAATATTATTTAAGAAACAATGATCATCCAGTTTGCTTGTTTATTTTCACTCAAAGAACATACAACTAAAGCTCTGGTTAACGTTTAACTTGAGACAGACATCGCTTTTAAACCATTTTCGCAGCTGTATATATTTGATGGATCTTAACTCAAAATCGTTAAGGGTAACAAAACTGTTTGTTATTTGTATCAGGACAGACAAGCACGAAGAAGTGTATAAGCAGAATTACTAGTTGCTGACGAAATCTCGGATACAGAAATCCTGCTTGATATCTCACAACTTGCGTCGTTAGTGGCGCCTACAGAATATCCAACTACTTATCAAATGACAAGCATAATGCACCGTAATCCGTTATGTCCACTTGTACCGCCATTAGACATGGACGTTAAAAGTAGAAGGTATGAAACGATTACGGAGTCTTAATTATAGGTGTCTCCGTAGCAACGCTCCCGTTTCTGGAACCACCGTGTGATAAATATTAAGGTCAGGCGAAGACTACTAGGCAAAACACGAAAGTCGATTCATGACGTTGTCAACCTTCATCGACTGAGACGGATTCCACATGCACTGTCCATGCTGAGCCACACCCTACCCACCCTGTGCTATGCTCAAGAAAGTTGTATTACGTTAGAAAATAGTTCAGGGTTGTCAGACCAAAACCTGATACCAGTCGATGAAATCTCTCATAGTTGGTTTCAATCATGCGGGGAGATGTACACTGCATGGTTGGTGTAACCGAGACGATAGGAATCAGTGGTTGATGACCTTTGGTGACCCAGCTGAAAATCGGTCACAATAGCGCAGATGTATTCACTCTTTGAAATCTTCGAAGGTTTGAATATTCGTACTAACCTTTATCTTCAGCTTGTGAATTCTTTCAAATTACTTCGTCTACTATGATATCATTCCTTTTCTATCCACCTGTTCTTTGCATACTACTGTAAAGTGTGGCAACTTGAGCCGATGCACCTGTACGTGAGGTTCTACGTTGATTTTACCATTGTCAGTCAGTCATTGGCCTTAATATCCAATTTGTACCGGTTTCCATCTGTTTACAAGACAATAGCAGTCATGAATATCTCTGTATTTCTCCGGATGACAATTTATTCAATAGGGGCTTGATTTCGGGCCAATATATCACGCGACAGATGAATATTAACCTTGTACATTTTGATTCGACTAATTTCTAAGAACTATCAAATAGCATCTGGTGTATCCCCTCATCTGATTGATACAGGAGAAATTATCAATGAATCGAAGGCAGTCTTAATGACAAGTCATCTTAATTGTCGAGAATGGCATGTTAAATGTAAATTCAAACAAACAGATACACACAGAGATAAGGATTTACCTATTTGTATCAGCACCTTGCCGTGCTATAGTAAACTTCATTTTAGACATTCCACCAACAGGTACACGATCAGATCCAGTAGAGAATTGCAGCAGTTGTTTCTGTTGAACCTCAGTCATTGAATGGACCACCGACCAGAAATTCTTTATCACAGGTGAATTAACTGTGTACTCTTCATAGGTGGTCACTCGCTCCAGTTCCTTGAAATCGTATACCTATGCAATTAAATATTTAAAAAACGAATGAATTGTACAGATTCCAAAATATTATAAGAGTGTAACAATTGCTACATAGAATAACAACCATAAGACTATTAACAGTTCCGATTACTAGGCTTTGAAAAACAGCGGGTACTGTTTTGGGCTCCTGCACCACAAGTATTGTATTTGAAAACCGCTGGTAGTACATGAATATCTAGACCTCTACAGATAAGACAACATTCAAGCATAGAAACGACTAACGGAAAGTTATATCCTTAAACTATTAGCTTTACAGAAAATCAGCAATTGACAAAATGATTTGAACCTGTAGCAAAATGGTTGACAAATAGGTGACTAAACCGCTTAATAATAGTGTACATCCAGCTGACAAGTTCCAAATAGGACGAAATGAGCATCCCGGATTCCACTGCTAGCCACTATCCATCTTTATAATAGTGTACTACCACTATATCTCATGCATACTATATTATTATTATTATTAGTCCCTTGGGTTCCTAGTGGAACATAGGACTTCAGTAGCACCTCTCCAGTGACCTCTGTTCTCTGAGATCTTTTGAACCTGGTTCCACGACAGCCCACAAGCTCTCATTTCCTCCTCGCACCATCTCCTCCATGTCACCCTCACCTCGGACACCCAACTCGTCGCTTCCCATGGGGATTCCACTCGAGGGCCTGACGCGTGATGTCCTCAGTCGGCCTTCTCAGTGCATGCCCAATCCACCTCCACTTCCTCCTGCATATTTGTTGCGTGATAGGTTCTTGGTTGGTTCGTTCCCATAGCTCCTTGTTGCTTATTCTTTCTGGCAATCCATCTGATCTTCAGTAGCGAGCCAGCGTAAGCAGTTGTTGATGAATGTCTGTAGTTTGTTGGAAATGCCTTTCGTGACGCGCCAAGTCCCTGAACCATACAGAAGCACTGACTTGACGTTGGTGTTGAAAATCCGTATCTTGTTCCGCATGCTGAGTGCAGAAGATCTCCACACTGGTTTCAGGCTAATGAATGCCTGTCTTGCTTTTCCGATTCTGACTTTGACATCCTCGTCTGTGCCTGTAGCCCCTGTAGTTGAAACAGTGCTTCCTAGATAAGTGAAGGAGGTTACTTCCTTTAAGTTTCCCCCGTTGATGGTGATTGGAGTTTGTTGTTGTTTGGTGGTGGTGGTGCGGTATCTTCATCACTTCTGTCTTCTCTATATTCACCTGAAGTCCCGTCCTCGCTGCCCTGCCTCTTCTGTCAACTTGTTGGATTTTGCCTGTAGATCTTCAAGTTTATGTGACATCAGGCATAAGTCATCGGCGAAATCCAAGTCTTCTAGGTTCTTTTCCGCAGTCCAGCCAGCGTATCCCCCTCTTCTCGCTCCCCACTGTTTGTTGCATAATCCAGTCAACCACAATCAGGAATATCATGGGGGATAGTAGACGGCAACCTTGTTTCACTCCTGTCTTCACTTCACTTCACTTCAAAATCATCACTGAGCTTCCCATTGTGGATTACTTGGCATGTGGCATCTTCATATAGTTGTTGAATGAGGCGGATAAAGGTTTGCGGTACTCCGTAGTAGTGAAGCAGTTTCCAAATTACTTCTCGGTCGACGCTGTCAAAGGCCTTCTCAAAGTCGATGAAGTTGAGGTAGAGAGCTGATTGCCATTCTACGCTCTGTTCTATGATGATGCGAAGTGTTGCAATTTGGTCTGCACATGATTTGTACTTTCTGAAGCCTGCCTGTTCCGGTCGTAGTTTTGAATCCAGTGCATTTTTAAGCCTCTCCAGGATGAGGCGGCTTAATATTTTACTTGAGGTGGACAGGAGAGTGATTCCGCACCAGTTCTTGCAAACACTGAGGTCTCATTTCTTCGGCAGTTTGACAAGGTAACCCTTCTTCCAATCGTCAGGTACCTTCTCTTCCTTCCACACCTTCTGCAATAGTGGTGTGAGCATGTCTGCTGTTGTCTCTGCGTCTGTTCTCAGTGCTTCTGGTGGTATCCCGTCTGGTCCTGCTGCTTTCCCGCATTTCAGTAGCTTTATGGCATTCAGGACTTCCATTTTCGTTGGAGGATTTATGTTCACTTGTAATTCAGCGGCTGCAGGTGGTATTTGTGGACGAAGTGCAGGTGGTGGTCGATTCAAGAGCTGAATAGAAATAAGTGAATTCATTCGTTTAATCATATATATATATATATATATATATATATATATATATATATATATATATATATATATATATATATATATATATATATATATGAGACGGGTTCTACAGGAAACCTGTATGTCCTGAATCCGATCCCTAGCCTAACTGATGAGTCCTATACTGGGACGAAACAGCTGTCCACTGAGACATGAGAAATATGTAAAGATGAGACAGTGCAACGGGCAAAGACAATAAGGTATTTCTATATAATTTACCAAACACAAACAGAGGCCTATTTAAAAAGATACATGGAAACAATACAAAAATAATTCGTACTGCCTCTTCTACGTACCAGTAATTTTTAGATATTCCTGACATAAAACGATATGCGGTGCACTAGGCTTTTCAGACACACACATATATACACATTAATTGTTGGTCAAAATTCAGTATTCCTGACAAGTACTTCAGCTATAAATGATGCAGGTTCAAATTTCCGAGAAAACACGAGTTTTCTGAATGTTACAAGTTCAGATGAGTTTTAGTCCACTAACATATATGGTAACCAATATTATACAGAAAGAACAATTTTACACAAATCATACGCTTACTGGACTGCCACGCACAAGCAGTTCTAATTCATCTGGGCGAAATAGAAATGTTAATGGACTTTCATCAACTACCATTTGAAATCCTCTACGGAAAGCATTGAATTGTTTTTTCACAGAGTCATTCAATAGGAATCCGGCATATAAATCTACATATTCCTTTACATTTTACAAACAATAGAAAACAAGATAGTAAAAAATTACAATGTGAAAGTGGATAGGAAAAAATTGGATCACTATCAATTATGGACTGCTGAATGGAAAACTTATCACTATTATAGAATAGTCATAACAGATGATGGATATCAAATGTTTAAGTGAATTTTATTCAGTTTAAAATGATGTTAATGGCAAATTTATAATGACGAATGATTTTGATTGAGATTTGAAACTGAATTCTATGAACTTACTGCAAAAACATCGACAACACTAGAGGTCAGAAGTTGTTTCGTAGAGGAAATGGCGTGTAATGAATTATATGTGTGTATGAAAGTAGGGTTCGATAAAAAACTGTAGATAATTTTAGGAATACTAGTTTAGGTAAAATGGTATATACATAAGGACTAAAAAATAGGCTCCATGAATATGATTTGTTTGATTATAGAGATGAGTGGATATGTACAATAGGGAAGTTGAAAATTAGGTTTCTTTCATGCAACAGAACACTGAGGAAATTATTAATCCTAAAATAAATTAAGCAGCTGTAGTTGGAGTACCTATTTTTTCTGAACATAACGTCTTTCCATTCGAATTGCCACCAGTCCAACAGTTTAGAGGATTTTTAGCTGGGAGCTCATAAGCAAGTCGATGGGAACCCGGTAAATAATAGGAAATAACATTTTGATATCCTCCTTACGGTTAGGTTGGATTAAATGGGTTAGTATGAAGCTATTATTAGTCTTCAAGACATCTTTACCTAAGTACATTTGAAGTGCTCACGAGCACAAAAAATTAAATCCCTCGAGCACCGACTGAAGTAATCGGCAACATCGTCGCAAATAAGTTCTTCATCGAATCTCACATTTAGCGGGAACTTTTCTTGCTAAACAAGAAGATGATCTGCTTGACCAGTTTGTCTGAGAATTCCCATTTTACGGTCAATATATGCAGGATAAATTAATCCTTCATGGAAGCAACATCGACAGGTTGAAGATACTTATCAGGTTTAATGTATCACAATAAGTAAGAGAATTTTCGTGTAGAAAATAGTCTTGAGGCAAAGTAACCTTTTTTCTCGTTTTGATGAGTATTTACATAGTAGCAAGTTACTAATTTTGATAATATTTGGTTTGATCACGGGTAGTCATCTTGCTTGAAATACTAGCAAGGTTAAAAACTTGCCAGTATAAGAGGAGTAAAATTCGAGCTGTGGTAGAGTGAATTTCAGCTGAAGTTCCATATGTATTAGACAGTGAAACAACATTATTTACTGACGATGTTTCCAGCAGGATTTATTACTCATCAGCAGATTACCTTGATATCATCAAATTGAATGGAATTTAGTATTAAGCTTCAATCACAATCATTCGTCATAATAAGAGCAACCTTAAAGGCTACTACTACTCAATCAATTGGGTTTTTCTATTCTACAAGACACTAACTTACTGGAAAGAATTTCGAAACTTAAATGGTCGTTTTAATGGTTGCTTAAATGGCCATTAAAGTCATTCCATTATGAACCAGTTATTTACTTTAACGTACACCGAATAATAATAACAATAACGTTAATCTATTCCTAGCATAAAAGCATGAAGTCTGATGCAGTATTATGATAAACACTAACAAGTGATTAAACACAGAAAGTGAACCGCAAAGATTTTCGTATCAATAAGTCAGCTATGCAATGCATCACCATCATCAATAAAATCAACATAGGACCAGGCAGTACTGTATAACTATCCAAGTCGCTACACCTCATATCAGAACACTATGCAACGAAGGATATAGAAATAAAGAATCGGTCAAAAGTAGTAGGAAGTGGATAAAAAGAGGAATGAGGAATACGAAAAAACTGAATTCAGTATGACAGTGCAACATAAAGTCACCACATTTCTGCGTTTGTACTCTTTTCCATCGGTTTAATAATGACACAAACGAAAAACAACAGTTACAAGAATGATCTAGATTGTATGATTTTTAACACTACGAATGCCTTACAAACTTGTTAAATAGATAATATATGCACAAATACACTTCAGGACTAAATTGTTTCAAACATATTAGTTAACTGAATGACGACAAAATTCAAGAACTAAGCTGTCACAACTTCTACTGAGCCTTCCTGGTTGGTCGATAATGAATAGCAAAACTCTAAATAAACCGCAACTTGATGAAACAACCAACAAAGTAAAGGATACATAAAATCAGATACAGTCTTACCAGAGGCATCAACTGAATAACATTGTCCCATGTCGAAGATGTTCGTCAGAACAGTAATATCACTGAATAGATTATTTATTTGAGAATGTTTGGGATGCCTTTAATAATAAGTTCAAAACTGCTGCTTTAGGACTAGTCCGTGTTGGCAACCTATCTGATGATAGAGTAGTTGGGCGCTTACTTACCTACTCACTTTACTGGGAAGGCAGGGTCAGTCTTGATATGGGTCATTTGGCTGATGAAATCTTGGTACGGATACAAAAAGTTAAAGTAACTTTCACCAGTCTAGGCCACTTGTAACATCGATAAAATATCCAATTACGTACTAAGAGACGAGTTTGATGTAAAACAGTTCACTCAGTTCTAATACTGGTCTTCGGTTGTGAAACGCGGTCATCAAAGTGGAGGACATGGAAAAGCTTCGGGTGCTAAACCATTGTTTTCCTCACTGCATCACCCTCGTATCCAGAAACAATTACATTATTAATGTAGAGGTTAGGCATATTCTTTAGGTAAAAGAGGCAATTCACTTGATGAGACTGTTAACAGTCAGTGATTCAGGTGACTGGAATATGTGTTACGCATGCTTATTTAATGTCTACTTCAATACGTGATTGTAGCTGAAATAGAATTAGAATAAAAGGAAGGTTAAAAGTGACCAGACTAAAACGTGGCACCAGTCCGTAAAGTCTCTTAACTATAGATCTGAGCTACAGAGGGAGATGCAGACATTCAAGTTGTGGTTCGCGCGACAACCGAAACCCAGGATTGTAGACTCTAGATGATATGAGTCAGAATTAATCTCAGCAGTGCATACGCATTCACATTTCATACTTATCTTGATCGTCAAGTGACACTTCATTATATGCTATTATTTAGCTTGCTTTCGTTTAGTGACTTTCTACGATTTGAATTTGCATTTCTTTGTCTTTCACCTTGATGCCTTGTATCTTGATGTAAGGTGCGGTGATTAAGGCTGTTACACAGTATCACTAGGTCCTTTGTTCACATGGACTAACTGAATGAAACAGATGCATTCGCCGACAAAAAATATTGCAAATGAAGAATATTCAGTAAGATTTCGTGCGTCGAATTACTGTGACTGAGAGACACGAGAAACAAAAGACTTGCCAGGCTGTGTTGTTATATTAGCACAGAAAACCATCTACTTGAAAATGATACCTATGCAAAATAATCTACTAAACACGTCGTACAAAGGCAAATTCTTAAACTGTGAGTAACAAACAATGGTAACTGTCACAACTTTTATACACTACATGAAAAACAAACGTGTAGTTTATTAGCTGAAATCGTTGATTGCTCATTATTTAGTATGTACTAAACACAAAAATATCACCAAATTACAAAGATAAAATTTGGATATATTAGATTTCATTGAGTTTAATAAACAACCGTATTCATTTTTACCAAATTATTTGAGTTTATACGAAGAAAAAACATTTGACTCGGTTAGTCAGTGCAGTGAAAAACCAATACACGCATGGTTTGTAGGTCAACCGGATCAAATTTTGACCAGACAATTAAATTTATTGAGCATTAGATAGATAATTTATAAAAGTAATATGTTTATGAAATGTCAAATGGGGTAGAAAAACCAATTTCTAACGATTTTTAACCATGTAGAAATTACTTCATCAGGGGATGAAAATAGTTCAATTTACCATGTTTAAATGTTAAATAGAATAAATAAGATTACATTGTTCAGACATGCATATAAGAAGGAAGGATCAAATATTATCGTAAATAAGTAATCATGAAGTTCAAGGTGATAGTACGAACTTGTAATAAACATGTATAGTGTGTTTCTCCTGGCTTGCTATCAAAGCGAACAAGGATGTTCAAACTGCATAGAACGACGGTTAACGTTTTCATACTATTTAATACTAATACACTTGTTAGAAAGGAAGGAAAAATCGTAGATAGTGGCAAACGGTAGCAACTCAGGGGATGTGGATAATCAGAGCTGTTCTCTAGTTCCGACTACAACTTACTCTGAAGTCTATCGATTTCGCAACATTCAATTGATGGTTTATGGGGATTAATACTACAAAATTTCACGAAAAACATGTGCGTATTAATCCTAACCAAATCCTTCTTAAAAGTACAAACGCAAACATACAAACTGGATTTTATATTTATGAAGCTTTTTCACAAATACTTATATGAGACACACATACATGTATTAAGGACTTATACTTTCACCTTGAACTCATACATCAGCAGTAGGTAGTGAGGATAACAATTAATCCTGCTTTCTTGTGACCAAGTATGAATAATTCAGTCTTATTTGTTCTAAATTATCATGATTAACATTCAGATAATATCGAGGCATCCGCACAGGAGCCTATGTACCAATAGAGGTCGAACAATTCGATCCAATAAAACAATGGGGGATTACAGGTATTTATACTAGGGGATGATTGAAGGTGAGATGAAAATTTGGACTGCAGCAGGATTCAAACCGGCGATCACCGGGTGGTCGAATCCAGTCACCGTTCAAATTTTCATCTCACCTTCAATCATCACTCAGTATAAATACTAGTCTGCCAAACTACAGCTATCTCAGATAGTTAAATGATAATTACAAGTATATCAACAAATAGTAATAACTAATACCCGCCGTACAAGAAGTGGCTATCGTGCCATTGCGGTATATTGGATAAGGTTTTGGCTTTCGAAACAATGCGTAAGAGTTTCAAGTCTCAGTGGGAACATCGCTCACTGGGGTGCAGGTACATTCAGTCAACGAGTCCCAAATAGGACGAAACGCGCGTCCTGGATTCTTCTGCTAGCTATAACCAAGCAAATTATTTGTTCTATTTACAATTCCAACACTTTATAACTTGAACGAGTTCCATTCATTGAAGTGACCTCTATCACAGCACAAGATGTCAGAAAATGGATTTTCCACCTGTTTGGTATTTTACAATGTTTATATTTCATCAATAACTTCACTTTTACTGGTGAAATAACAGCTAAATCTATTACTCAATAAGAGAAGCAAAGATACCAGTTGGTCAAGCAGTAAATTCATAACATTGAGACTAACATGCGCTTTCAAGTTTTATCAAAACTTCAGTTAAATACAAAACACAATATAAATAAGGGTGATTAAGAACAAAAGTAAACAGTCACGAATTAATACCTAAGTGACATGAACAAAAACATAGATTTAAAAAAATGAACCCATTTGCTAACAGAGATTGAGCAATTGGACTCTGTATAGCCACAGGATATTACAAGTATCAGACAACAAGAGATGAATTACCTTACGATTATGTTTTGTAACTGGGATTGCAGCACCATTTGGTTTTAATTCATGTGTTACCACATTTCCAAATGGATCAAGATAATTGACAACAAATGAACAGCCAAACACTTCTTCGATATCATCATTCTTATGTTCCAGAAGAGCTTTCAGTCCATTGGCTAAACTCTTTGTAAAAGGAAATAAATATATATGACAGGCAGTTAAAAAGTTAGATGATATGTTGCTGATATCATAGTTACAGAGAGTTTGAATGAGTACTTTATGAAGAGTTGGTTATTTAGATCATCATACCTCCATCATACAATGTTTTATAGCCTCAGGTACTTATGACAATTTTCACGCATTCAAAGGAAGTGAACGACGGTCCAGTCAGTGGTGTATGGATTTAGCCTGTCAGTCAATAATTCTCTTTCACTGTAATTTGACTAGGCCATTTACGATTTTTTGACTTTTAACGTTTCCTTTCTAGTTTCAATCATAGGTTATTATTCATTGTAGCATGAGTTCACAGACAGTTGAAAGGGTTGAAGTTTATTGTCATAGTATTAAAACATTAGGGTTTCTCTCTTAAAATGCTTCTGTAATGACGAAGTCTCAAGTACCACAGACTACCTTTTTTTTCAAATCGCTTGTCTAAGAAATAAACCTTAGACCGTTACGACTATGAATTACAACCGTTGCAAGTGTTTCCAAACCCGCCTACCATTCATTGTGGTTTGACAAAAACAGTAGATCTTCTCTTAAGATGTGCTTTGAGGTGAATGGATTTTAGTTTTCAAAGCTTCGAAAAGAATAGATGTGAATAGTTCGACTCAACTAGGGAGGTATAACAACTGATTAGTCATCAAATATACATCACCGATGCATCTGTATTTTCCTTTATCCTTGCCATCATATTACATTTCGCCATTTGCTTAGACTTTTCTTCTCTCAGTTGAATGGCTTTCTATGATTTCCACTGATTTGGTATTTGAAGCTGAGATAGTGTAACTTTACAACGCTGTAGCAGACAAACATCGTTTTCAAAATTAATAACTTTTCGCTGTTACACATCTCTAACTAAGCAAAGTATCGAAGCCTTATAGTTCAATGTATAGGAAGGAATCTGATAAATTCAATTCTTTATCCCAATCGTCGAAGTATCCCGAATTACAACGAAGCAACTGACTAGTATCCCTTGGTTCCTTGATGTGGTGAAATTCTTCACGAGATATGTTTTCTTGAATTGATCACCTTTATACAACGTTATATAGCTGAATAAAACTCTTTAATAATTATCACGATTTTCTGGAAATAGTTAACGCTGGCACTTCAATGTCAGAGACAACTTTTTCAGTCAAGATAACATTTCAAGGCTCCTTACGATGATCATGTCAACCACTGTAAATAATCTAGAGGGGACTAAATGTTATCCCCAGGTGTTGTCATGCTCGCCATAGGTTGTAGAGTTGTGAGAATACGAATATTTACCGTGTTCCGTATGAATATTTTATCTATTTGGATAGTTTTTACAATGCCATCTGCCAATGAATCGTGTTTCAAACTGTTAATTCATGTGCAGTGTTGGCTGCACTTCCACTTCTTAGGCGAAAGTAAGCAAAGTTACTCAGGATAAATGATGTTCACAGACCACAGTGAGTTAGTTGAGGCTTCGAATTACATTGAAAAGGATTTAGGATAGGAGTTTTCACTTCAGAAATATGTACATACAAAAAATATAAAATACATATTTTCAGACAGAATCCTATAACACCTGGAGATAACTTTTAGTCTTACCCATTCAAATGAAAAGAGAATGTCAGAACAGTTAAACATTCAGAAAGAATATTCTGCTGAGCATTTCAAGTGTTGCAGTAAGCAATATAATTTGAAAGAAATTAAGATAAAAACTCTAACTAAAAGATGCATCTAGGCAACCGAAAAATAAAGGCTTTCTCAAGATAAAAAAAAAAATGCTCATCCAGATACGCTGTCAAGTAACAATACTTCGAAAGTGATCATACACCAGCATGAATATGAATTTTACTCAGTGTCACCACGGCAAACTTACTCATATTTTATTATGGTAGTATAAAATCCATGATCAAGAGGTTTTCACTTTTTACTAACCGTTATATTAACTGGTTTGAATAGGACCTCAACTTTGCACCTCAAAAGATAACACTTTTCTGTTTACAACTGTTAAACAACACCCAATTTGCGAATAATCTAATTGAGAACATTTTATCACTTTGTTACACTAAAATAAAATCTTGTAGAAGTCACTAGTGCTATTATCAGTCTAGAAATGCATAGTTGAATAGAAATAAAAACGTGATATATTATCCTGGTGAAATCGAGTATGCAGTCAGAATTATGCCATTATCGTTTACAATCCTTATACAAATACGTCGTAGACCAAAGCACTGATAGTGGAATTCAGAAAAACGATACCGATTAAAAACGATTAGACCGACAAGTGTAAGTACTACAGAGATAAGCAGACAATAAAATCGATAAACAATGTGAGCATATCGAAAATAATAGGCGAGTTATTGTAAGTACGGAAGCAGGTAAATCAATACGCTTCACGCCCTGGTTGCGCATAAAACGACTAGTATACGCCATATGTGAAAATTAAAAGATGGGCTGGTACCGGTTGTGATATCGCTGAAATCGTCCACGAAAAGTGAGAAAGTGAAACTTTTCCATCACTAAAATACACTTACTACAGGTTAATCCGTTTGCACAAGTATTGGTTGTTTAAAAACCCTTGAAAACAGGGTTTTGACGGATTATGGTACACATATACTTTCAAAAATTGATTCCAAATTATAAGAGTAATGAACAGCATCAGTAGTAAATATGTTTAAAAAGATGATACATATCTATGATCTAAACAGACAGAAAAAGTGTTAGCAACTCAGCAGTTTGCCTGCAAAATACTTCAAAGAAAAAGTAGTTGTATGAATTAATTGACAAGACAAATATATACGAATCATATCACTAACGGGATACTTAAATAAGAAGTGTTATTTCCCCTACTAATGATTAGCAATATCAATCAGACCGGTATTCATGGATTCATTTACTCATTGTACGAACATCTTGTTATTAATATTGATTGGTAGTATGAAGAACTTCTAACAATGATCAAAGACATTTTAATTGATTTATTAGATTTATCACAGTGTAACAGTATTGTTTACTGGATGACGTTTCGGACATAATTCATTCTTCATAGTCATATGACTATGGAATTACATTCTACCACAGTGCACAAGTTTTAATCTCATATTAATAATGATCCAAAACATTTTGTAGGTACCGATATTTCGAATCGATGAAATGCAGCTCCAGAAAAACTAACAAATTTCAAACAGTATAAAATGCACCTCCTGGATTTCAGCATTATCATCGAAAATTGTGTATCAATGATTTCATCGTTAAATTATAAGTTAATGAGACCTGCTTCGACTCTGAAAGAGGAGACTGAAACAAAAAACTTCTAATGGAAAATATCACTACAAAGTTAAAGTTACTATTATAATAGACAGGCAGATAGATAAACTGGTACACAATGTTTTTTGATCTTACAGGTCTAGCATCAAAAAGGTCCTCGAATGTACCCAATTTTCCGACTAGCTTCCGATATAACACTGATGGAAAATTTATGTCCAGTATTACATCATTATAAATTGCTAAACCTAGTAAAGTACCAATCAGACAGTATTCACGTTCCATATCGTCTATGGGGACTGGATTGAACCAATAGTTTTGAGTTTCATCATCTAATACAAACATGCCTAATGAAGATAGAAAAAAGCAGAGAAAAAAAGATTAAATTACTGTGAAGACGGAAAAAAGTTAACTAACTAAACTGCTACTTAAGATACCCTAGGTTGACTGCAATAATGATTAAAGTTGAGATCAAAATGGCTACATAATTTGATCTAGATCACCGATTGGCATATAATAGTGAGTCTTTGATATTAATTACATTGTGGCATCTGATGACATAAAGCCTTAGGTTTGAGTTTTGTTCTAGTTACCGCTTATTAACAAAGCTTAGTGCTAATGCTAGGGATTCAAATGTGTGCGAGTATTTACAAAAAGCCATAACCGATTCAAACTCCACACGACAATTGTCTAAACACTAAAATAAAAATACCTCTTGATATTTCACTGGGAAACTTCTATAAACCCCAGACAAAAGAAGAAAATTTCAGTGACTTGAAAATTCTACTGATTAGTTTAGAAGTCATTTATAATTGGTGAAAAACTTCTGTATTCCGCAGCTAGTAAATTAATATGAGTTTCATTAGGAAAAGGACAAAACTTATCCTCAGCTAAAATAATGCAGTCAGAGATCGCGTATACTTTCGTGAAGTGAACTATGAGCCATACCTATTGTGTGAGGACTAATAGTACCAACTGGTTGTTCAAACCTTGCTAGGTGGAGAAGTTCCAAACCGCAGCTCACTGATTGAAAGTCAAGCGTCTAGAGCAATGAGACAGCTCAGTTTCAGGTAACTGTCAACCTAAAAGTTACTTGTGCGAAGATGATCCGCCAAAACATCCTACCTAACACTTCTGTCATCAAACAAGGCGAGAACAATTTTCAGATAGTCATCTTCAGCAGTATCCAGGTGACTATGTTACAACAATGCAACCTTAATATCATGAACAGTATACTCAAATGGTTTCAGTGCATTTGTTTTTACTTTAGAAGTTTGGAAAGAAATTGAAACCATTTATTTTGTACTGAATTTGCTACATCCTACAATCTTTATGCATTCTATTCCATTCTAATGCATTCCCTGTACTCAAGAAATAGTTTTTTTAAAATAAATGGTGGACGTTAATTTGTAAAACTTGATCTCTCAAACATCTATTCGCACGTAGAAGTGGATACTGATTCTAAAGAATTATCGACCATCATTACTGATTATGATCTTTAACAATACAAGATGATGTTGTAAGGGATCATATAAAATGGAAAGTTAGTTTAATAAAGTGGCTAGTGGTAAGGGATTTCCAAGATTTTCCAAACACTTCAATCAACGACTTAGATACATTCAGATTTCTGTATCTAATCCAGAATTTGTGTGCTTGAAGTTACTTAAGACAAGAGTGGAAATAGTATCCATAAACTGAGACTCTAATGTGTGATATAGATAAGACATGCAAATTATCTTAAAATCACTCCCTATAAATGTCTGGAAGACAGTAGATAAAACCAAAATATGGGTTAAGATTTGATGACAGAAACGAAATCATGAATTTCCAGAAGATAAGAACATCACCGGAAAAAAAACATGGACCTCCCCTAAAATGAATGAACAGAAAACGAAAGGAAATTGAAGTGATTGGCTGCTAACTCATACAAACAATCGTATGCGTGACTTCAAAAAGAGGGAGGCGTTATACCAACCAAAAAAGGGAAAAATCTGAACTTTAGATAGGTATGACTAGTCGAATTATTTTATTCAAGACAGTTTACCTTGAACTTGTTTCTGCACGGTTTGTGGTTCAATTTTAGTACATAATTGTCTCACAAAAACTTTGGTAAGATTATAAGAGCTAGGATTCAAATCGATTTCCAAACTACTTATTACTGGTTATACCTAAGTCAACCGCAAATTAGTTAGTAAAATTGTCAATTGTGCAGTCACCACTGATCTCAAAACTAAACTGACAAACTGCACTTCTGACTCCCTTGGTGATAATATTCTCGATACCCAATGGTGGCATTCTCGTAACGCAATCCCCTGAATACTGTAACTGAAGAAATTGTGCACATCTTCATAAAAGAATTGACTTGATGCTTTCAACTGAAATAAATATATATCCATTCATCGCAAGGAATCTATCTAATTCTGTTCATTTCTTTTTTCTCTATTCAATGTACAGAACGGGTATCTTGGATGCTAATTTGTTGTTGATTGCGAAGAAACTGCTAGGCTTATATCATGTAGATGAATTGATATCTCTAAATAAAGCTTTAACAAGTGACAATAAAGAACATCCTAGCAACTTTTGAGTTGAGTTACTAATTTTGTTAATTTGGGCTGGATAGTTTAATTTCTTTCCAGCAGTTACCAAGATAACCTTTAGAGTTATTCTGCTTATGTTTTCTCAACTTTAAGTCATTAGTTGAAGCAAATACAAAAGAAGATATTCTCAATCATTTTAGCAGCGGTTCTTTTTTAAGTTTATAATTAATGCAGTTATACAGCTGAATTACAGGTCTCTAATAAACAATAAATTCGAAGTATACTTCAGGGCCATTGGTGCTACAAAGTGAAGAGATTCATGAGACTTGAAATTTTGTTTCTTCATATGTCTGAATGCTAATACCATTATTTATACTTCATTTAAAGTTGTTACCTCATTCCAGAGAATTCAAGTAATACGCTATCATATTTTATTCTTCATAGGTGCCGCTCGATTGTTGAGTTGCTTTTTTTCAATCGAGTTTTTGACATAATATTTAACGCTAATATGATAAACACTCTATACAGAAGTTGTAACATCCTAAAGACGAACAGTTAACATACCATAGTCTGGGTTAAAGATTCGTTCAATAATAAGTTGGAAGAACTCCTTACTAAGTCCGCCTTCATCAATACCTTGTTCACCTTCAAATTCGACAAGTAGTTGTTTTTTAAAATCACCAGGGTTTTCCAAACATGCGATTTCCAACTTTCAGTGAAATATATATGCGGTTAAAAAATAAACACAAGAGAACAGTAAATAATTAACAACTTCAGAAATAATCTATTTAAGGGTAGAAATGAAACAGGACACTGATGGCTAAAAACATTGGTCACATAGTAACGCCTGTGTGACAGATTGAACAAAGCACGTTCAAATTATTAGTGATACAGAAGACCCCAGATGCACTATAATAGTGATTTAGGAAAGTTGAGTTTTCTGTCTCTTTTAAAATGCTTCTTATATGGTACAGTATGCATAGACTTCGTGGGGGAATCCTACGTTCTCCTTGCACACAGTGGAGTGACTATGAATCACTGGTTAACTTATAATAGTGATCAGCAAAGTGAGAGTGCAACAGTAATGATAGTAATGCACCACCTTGAGAAGTTCTTAAAAAGAACAGTGGTTTTCGACATCAACCGAATAGTATGATATTGTAAGATAGCTTGGTAGTTGACTAAAATTAATATCGTCAGCAACTGCAGCTAGAAAAACCTTAAGGTTTAAAATAAAGCCACAGGAACGCTGAATAATTATTGCTAGTTAAAAAACTATGCATAATATTTTTTAAATTAACCAAAACCTTCTGGCTGCTTGATATGAGTGTTAGGTAGAAAAAATCTCTGGAAATGCTAGGTGTTTCACAACACAAACAAATCAGCGTAAAATCTCGCACAGAAGTATATCAAAACGCTTCACAACAGCTAAAAAGAAAGCTTTGGTAAAGAAGAGGTTAATGAGAATACTTAAGGCTACGAAAATAACAAAGATTGTATCCATTAGAAAAAAATTGAAAAAAAAATCAACATCCACGTATGACCAAGCATTACTGTTTAACGGTCCAGGTTGCCACATCTTGTAACAGTATAACAAGTAACGAAGTAGTAAGATGAAAGATGAAGAAAGAAAGAAAAATCGATCAAAGACATCAAAAAGTACTAAAAGACAGGATGGAGGAATGAGTAAATGATGAATTCAGAATAGCATTTAATATGAAAATAAAGTCTGGATACATCTGTGCCACTGACATCGATTCTGGGGCATGTCACCTTCAGTTTCCAACCATCAATTTCGGTTGTCGCGTGGACAACAAACACGAAGTTTGCATTTCGCCATACAGCTCAGGCTAACAGATAAAGATTTCAGGGAATATTGCTATGTTTTAATCTGGCCACTAGTATCCATTTTCTAGTCTGAATCTACTTAAACCAACATTGCACAAAAACGCATATGGTGACTAGGCATGTGTAATACATGTCCCACCCAGTTCACTCGATGAACGCTCAGAGCCTCATCCATCAACTGACTTTACTTTCTAAAACTCTACACTTGACATGTAATTTACTGACGTTGTGACACCATAACATACGGTAATGGTCGTCCAATACCCGAAGTCTACTCATGTCCTCTACCTTTAATGGTCATGTTTCATATCCATACAATAGAAAGAGATAACTGCAGAGCAGTACACTCAGTCCTTAAGAGATAATCAGATATCACAGCGACACCATAAATGGGGTAATATAGCGAAAGACAAGTGAGCCATTTTTGTCCGTGCAAGGATTTCATCCGACACTGACTCACTGGGAATGATCCGACTTCCCAGGTACGTGATATGGTCACCGTTATAAACCACTTCACTTTCTGTTATCAGACCGAGCACTAAGGATGATTGTTGGAGCATCAATTTAGTTTGGGACACTAATAAATATATATTGAACATTCTCAAATTTTCAGTCAGTGTCCAGTAGACACTGCATACTGTTAGTGTCTCTGCCTAAAATGAGAATACCACTTGACGCCAGTCAGAGGGGATCATATCCGAATTCTATGCGCTATCAAACACTTCAGTTAGTGTTACCAATAAACCTCGACCACCATTTTTAAACATCTCCGGTAATAGCCCATCTGCTTTTCCTCGTTTCAGGTTACCTACAGCTCTCTCGACTTCTGTAAATGTTGAGCCTTATCTCAATGTTCCACTGAGGTTCCAGCTGGATAGTGGGCAAAGAAATAATAACTGGAGGCCATCTGAACTGTTCCTTAAAGTGTTCCGCCCATTGTTCTAGTCACTTTTCCTATGAGTGAATCCTAGACCAATCCTTCTCTATCGTCTCACACTAATCATTGACCTTTTCGCTCCAGTTTCGTTAATAGGTTTCAATAACTGTCTACGGTTATCCATCGCCACTGCCTTTTCCATGTCTTTAGACTTCTTTGCTTATGACTGTTTGCAGTCACTGTATAGACTTCTTATCAGTCTGCATCTGAGTTGCATTCGCTCCTCATTGTACTCAGAGCCAGCAGAGATGCGTTCGCGCGCATTTGTTAATTCAGAAGAAGCTCCTGAGATCCATTGGTTCTTTTTAACCACTCTATGAGCTGGATACAGTCTTCAAGACAGCTTTTACAGCAGACTGAAGATGGTGCCGAGTTTCTTCTGGATTTGGGATATTGTTCTTTTGTTCCATTCCGAGAATTGACAAGCATGTTTCTCACTGGAAGCGGCCTTAGTGCTCTCCTTGTTAAGCTGTAGTCGCAGTGGTCTTGTTACGAACGTTTTTTTACGTTCATTGAGATGCAAACATAGACGCACCCGAAGTGACACGTGGTCTACAAGGAGCGGAAGTCTCCCATCGACACTTTAAAACGACGACTGACAGCAATGCTGCCCATCTCCGTTCATTAATGGGTTGAGCTCGGTGATTACCATTTTAGACACCATCTTTCTTTTTGTAGGCAATTTGTGTTGAAAAATAGATGGTTATCTGAAAACAGTTGTAATAAGCAGTCGTCGTTACCTGTTCGTTCGGCTGGGATTCTAAAAATGCCGCATAACTTTCCCTCTGCCTGGCTCAGCCTACCCAAATGTCCATTAAAACCATCTGCAATAACCACCACTTCTGAGCGTTTGGTTTTCAGTAGGAGAATAGACAGTTTTCAGTAGAACTCATTCTTTATCTCATCCGAACAGCAATCAGTAGGTGCATAAGCAGAGATTACAAAGAGACAACAGCGAGTTTCACTATCCCATTTTTTCCTCATTGTGCCGTTCAATCAAACTGCGTTTAGGTGACTGCCAACTGGAATCCAGTCGAGTAGTGAACTTTGTACGCTGGTACTCAGCCATATACCTGCACCGAAGACTGGTAATCGAATTCCCAGAAACTCGAAGGGTGAATTTCGCGGATTCGCCATAACTGCTGGGTGAGGTTAAGTGAATGACTGCACGTCAGCCCTGTATGCATGTCTCACAAGTATAGCACACATATATTGGTCAAGATGCTGGGATTTTGGCTAGTGAAGCTTGTTGACCGACTTGACGGAGGGTTCCGACATTGGAAGCTCAAATATGCAGTTTGGAGTGTGGTTACAGAAGACCAAGGATGCAGTTCTGTGAGCTCTAGTCGTTGTTGAGAGCTGCAGAGCTGAGAGAAACTAAAGACGATGTGGGTTAATTGACTGAGGGACGTGAAAGAAGATTAGAAGGTAAGAATGTGGGGAGTAGACAGTTATCTGAAGAAGCTTGGGTGTTGACAGTTGTGAGGGTAGTTGACACTTCCCGGTTGCGTATACTGTGGAAGGCTAGTTTTTCTTGAAGTACCTGAAAGAGAAAAAGATTTGCGAATCCAGAGCCCATGGAATATCTGCTTGAGGACGGTCACAAACGGCCTTTTTGTAAGATTGACATTTTATTTTGTTGCATTCGAATCCGACAATGAATCCCTGTCGAAGGGATCGGTATGCTATGGGGTGACAGAAGTGCACAGTTTCTGGGGCTAATTTATTTTAAGCTCCCATTCCCATAGAGAAAGCAACATCAGTATGGCACTGCTAGCCATCCAAGGAAAACACCTAACTGTCATACTCCCGTCCAAACAGCAGCACGTTTTCGCACTCAACTCCCCCCCCGCATCATAGCGTAGCAATTTACAATATAATGGTAACCGCTTTTCGTTTAACCACTATCCGACAGACCTTTCTGGTATGGTAAAACCTGGAAGGAACAAGCGTTTCATCAGCATAGCTTTTTAGGTCGCGATAAACAAGCTCGACCACCACGTTGGTGTAGCATTTATCGGTCGGGATTGTGTAAATCTGCTCTACTGTGACTGATTTTGAGTCATATAACCAAAAGTCTTCAACTAACGATTCCTGTCTTCTTCAGAAGACCCCATCCAGGAAGCTTGAGCCTCCCTACACGACTTAGACCGATAGTCGGAGACTTCAACAACCATTGGAATATCTAGGTTCGGCCTTCTTTAGCCTCGCAATTCAATCGCACTTTGAGTAACACCGAGCATCGAGGTAGGCGATGGTTTAGCATGAGCAACCCATATCCGGGAGACTTCAGTTGGTACAGGTTTACAACGTCATCAACTCCCTAGCTTTCCTTGCTACGTACTCTATATAGAACTTTGATATTGCTCCTACGGTGGTTTTACAACACGTGATCAACGTTAAGAAGACACTTACGATCGAAAACCTGCAACCTTTTCATAGCTTCTATTTACAAGAAGTATGTCTCACAGCCGAACACTAGTCGATTTCCATAACTATTGAAATATCTAGATGCATGAAAACTAGCAACCATTAGACGGGGAATAATAATAATATTAATAACAAAGTAATAAACGAAATTCGAAGTAGAATAGAGAGAACTTACAATTAACAGAGCATCTTCAACAATTCGATCACGGTTAACACGCAGTTTGAAAAATGGCACTTCAGGTGTATCCATGAAAAGGTGTGCATTAGAACACCTCGACGTTCATCTAACATACGCATACGATTATCGTAATAAAGTAGAACAGATTTTGAACTTGTTTGAAGTAGAAATGGTAATTTCATAAAACTTAGTTCATTTGATATACCTTTCGAACGATAGTATATATAATCTTTCTTTGGCTGTACGAAAAATACCGTAACAAAAAATCAATTAAGAAATGAACCAAAGTTATATATATATATACATATATATATATATATATATATATATATATATATATATATATATATATATATAAGATAATGATAACCACTCTTACCAGAAAATCCAAACTGCGGTTCATCTGTTTAATAAACACCTATTTGGGCTCAGTACTGTAAGTAATACAAAGTATTTAATATAGAACTAGCTGAGGATAGTGATCAACTGTTCGAACCAATAAACATGGTGTGTAATTAAAAATTTTAACAAAAAGGATCACAATTGATTCTGCAGATCACTAAATCATGCGCCACAATCCGTCCTGTCCCCTTGTACGGATGTGAGACATGGCCGTTAAAAGTAGAAGATATGAAACGATGACAGAGTTTTAATCATAGGTGTCTTCGTAGCAATGCTCCCGTTTGGTGGAACCACCGTGTGAGCAATGTTGAGGTCAGGCGAAGAGTACTAGGCAAGACAGGCAAGTTGATTGATGACGTTGTGAATTCTCATCGTCTGGTATGGCTTGGACATGTACTGTGAATGCCGAGACACTACCTATGCCCATGTAACATGTCAGGGAAGTTGAATTAAGTTGAAAGGGGATTCAAGGAGGCCAGACCAAGACCTGGCACCAGTCGATGAAGTCTCTAACTCTTGGTCTGAGCTGTGTGGGGAGATGTATACTGCATAGTTGAGGTCCTTACGACGAAAGGAATCAACGGTTGAGGACTCCTGGTGAAATCACTGAAAATCGGTCACAATGGTGCAGATGAATTCACTCACTGACATCTAAAGCTTGAATATTTACACTAACCTTTATCTTCAGATTGTTTATTCTCTCACACAACTTTGTCTATTCTGATATCAGCCTTTTTCTATCCACCTGGGCCGTCACACTTGCTTGCGAGGTTCTACGATGATCATATCAGTCAATCAGCAGTCAAATCATAGCTCTATGCTATTGAGCATAAGGAATAAACAAATCTAATTATTTGCTGACTAGCTGGTTGATTAACCATGTGATTAGTATAGGTTGCATTAAAGATATGCCTCAACAATACTATCGTCTATAATGACTGCTGAATATATCTCTACACCAGTGCATTGTATCTGATGGTTCTCTTTATAAAATGCAGGCTTCAGAAGACCTTTTCTATAAAATAATTTCCTCAGCAAACAGTATAAGCATTTTGCTTTAATGCAGTAATCGGAACCCCTTTTAGAAAAAGCAAACGAACAGTCATTCTAAACGAAAAATTTCAGAACCCTATCCCTTCGACTGAAATACATCTTATAAACAGGTAAGTGAAGAAGACGAATATGTTTAACTTTGAGTGACTACCTCAATTACATGACGCTCAAATGGCAAATAACACGTAGGCATTGTGGATAATAATCCACAAATGTCAAGCTATGTGAAAACAAAGAATACTATTTGGTCACGTAAGTATCGACTGAATACTGAGCCCCAACTGTATGCAAAGGTAAGCAAAAAAGGAATGAAATGGTTAGTGATCTATTTTATAATGCCGCTTCAACTTAAAATAGACCGGGTGCTATTCTTTTAATTCTTGGTCAACGAGTGGGTTATGGATTTGACTCGCTTTCAATTATTGGAGGTGAACAATCCACAATGTTGGCAATAAATGTAACAACGAAAGTGAATTTCAGATCGCTTGGTCACTATATTCGAGGTTGATAGAAGTGCATATGTAGTTCAACCTTACGTTCTTACCCATAAATTACATTTATTCAAAGAATTTACCATTCCATTTAACTGCCGAAATTGGGTGGGTGAAGTATCATTTGAACAAGTAATCCTAGTTACATACTTAAACCCACGAGCCGTAGCCCCTTTTAAGAAAATGTGTTCAAACCACGTAGGCGAAATGAGTAGACCTCCATTCGAGAACTACGAGCCTGTATCAAAAACGCAATCCACTTAGTAGGAACTCAATCAGTTTGTAAATATAAACACGTAGTAAATAGATAGGAAAAACTTTTATCAACAGTCTACAGTGGATAATAGGCATATGATGCAAAAATTTAGTGAGTAATGTTGAAGTTAAAAGCAGAGTTCTATGTAAGAAAGACTAGTTTTCGGATAAAGTCCAGAACTTCAACAGACTCCTTATTCCAATGAGCAATGATAATCAGAATAAAATTAGAACGGAAAACAATCGAAAATGGTACACTGAACAAATGACGAGTGATGATCTGGGTCAATCACAGGTACGGCAACTTGGACCGTTACTATGTAGTTCCAGGTCCTATGTTGATATTGTCTGATCAGAAAAGTGTAGGTTTGATGGGGATGAACTATTGAGATGCTTAGAAATTTACTCTTCTAGGCACAGAATGGCATAGTATAAAATAAGACACAATGCAGTGAGTGTATTTAAATTTTGTTCTCCAAAACATTTTGAATACCTTGTGTTTCTACACTGATTTTGAGCCTATACGGTTTTGTATAAGGTTCTATGCTATGCTGTTTGTCTAAGTAAATCAAAAATAAAAAATGCTAAAAAGTGTTAAACATACTTGTAGTCCATCATTGAGAGTTTCATTTACAAAGTCTTTAGCTGGAATGAATGGTTTTCGACAGTCATTAGGAGAAATATTTAGTGCTTTAGCGAATGGATCTTCAGGTAAGTGGGTTCGTGAACGCCTTTCATAAGTCTGAAATGATAATTAGGCAAGATAACTAATCATTCAATTTGACACACAATTACGCTACAAAGATAAAAGCAGTGTATTCCCATGTATTTAGAAGAAACGTCAAACAAAAACTGATGTGTTAGGGATGCCTCTATCCCCTATATTCCATACTCACAGTTTGGGTATATTTGAAGTTTTACTTCACACCTTTTATCCTATGCATGGGGCTTATTTCACACGATCCACTGGCGTTCTGATTGCCCCCTGCCTCTTTGAATGTACCAATTATTCCTTGGCTTTCAAGGTTACTGTAAACTCTATAAATAGGATCCGTTTTCACTAATAAACGTTTTCAGTTCGAGATACTATAAACTCTTCTGATTTCTCTTTGCGAATCATTCGAATTGAATCGTCTCATCCTTCAAATATCAATCGTTAAGTATTTTCCTTCGTTCTCACAACTCCGCATCATAACACAATGAGTATACATTTATGCCTGATAACCCTCTTTTTTTAAAGCGATTAAATAAATGGATGTTATTACGATTACGTCTACATGCATGTGGATAATGAAAAAAAATATTATTAGTTCCATGATACTCACCAGCTCTTTAATAGAAATAAGAAACAAGTACAAAGTAATTCCACGTTAAATTTATATATTTGATGCAGAATACATTTAAAAAGATAACACTATTATTTACTGAAGGTTTCTAGACTTGAACTGCTCATCGAATTGACAGTACTTCTTTCAGATATTTTGTCAGTATACCGATGTGGATTGCATTTGAGTCAATATAGTCAAATATGAATCAAAAACGTCTCAGTTAATGTAACATTTATTTGTGAATAACGAAGTAATATCAAATGTTATCATTCGATGCAACTGACAATGGTATACCGACAAAATAACTGAAAGAATTATTCTTAAGATGAACAAAGTTTCGGGTACAATTTACCGCCTATAATCATACCACCTCAATATATCGAATATATCAGATAAACAAACCAAATACAGGACTTTCTTTTTAACACAGTTTTACTCTCATATTGACGAATCCAGGTATGCTATCTATTAGTTGTAGTTATATCCTTCACTGAATCCTAAGAGTATACAACTAATTCGATATCTGAAACCAAGAAGTAAAAAAATAGTACTCCTAAGACCTAAGTATCTCATGATGCTTTTTAGATTACGTGTCAGCATCCTGGACTTGCATAAATGAATAAGAAAAGGGTAAATGTAATGTAATCTATATATTCGCTAGTATGATATTTCACACAGAGTGTCATGTGGTCGCTTCCACTACGGAAAGAGATGCACATGATAACTAATACTTGTTAGCTAAAATGAAATAAGTCAAAAGGAACAGATTTTCTTTGACATTTAAATTCGGAGAACCTGAACGTCAGGTAGCTGATAGTAATACCAAATCAGTTGCAGCTCATTGGATTAAGGGACTCAACTTTCCCCCAATGGGTCATGAATTTGAGGTTACATCCACCTACCAAGGTCTAAGTAGTCAGGTAGTATCATTATAAACTACACAATAGATTTAGTTGATTGCCTACTGCATAAAAGTGTCTGTGGTTGCTAAGTGCATTTCGATTCTTTATTTTTTCGAGTACAGTTGTTTGAAATCAAATTTAACCACCCTTAAAGTAAAGGTCATATAAATAGCATTTTGATTCTGCACGAACTAATACGTTCAGCTGGAAAGATTATAAATCGCTTTAGAAGCTTTCTTCAACATAAATATGTTATTTAACAACGAAAATAGATGGGAAACAACAAATATTTTGAAAAGAGATTAAATAATGATGAAGATATTAATGGAGCTTACAGGTCCTATATAGGCACGCATTTCAAGCTCAAAGGATCTGTTGTCTTCTGCTTCCATTTCTAACAGTTCTGGTGAATCCATTTGACCAGCTAATAGACTGGCATAGTAAACAATACGCAGTACAAGCGCAGCTTCACATATCTGTTTATCTTCATTTGGTAACCCATGATCTGTAGTTAAGCAACGCAAAGTTATATGATGTAACAGAATTTTTTGTAGGCACCATAAATTTGTTTGTTCTGGATTCGGTGGCTGTATACGATTAGCTAGTGGTATATGTACAGAATTAGCCCACGCTCGGCATAACATAATTTGTATACTAATCGGAAGCCAAGTAACAGCACGATTTATGTTTAACAATAAAAGCTGTAAATGAACGACAAAAGATATTAGAAAGCAAGCTTCTTTAAAAAGGATGGAACTACAAAGAGAATAAGTACTGTATACATGAAGAGAATCCACTACTGAAAGAGATGTGTAGTTCGAGATCGAATACATCAATCATACAAAGATAGTAGTCCCATCAATGTCAGATAAACACTAGACAATCATTTTGCTCACTTGAAGGTTAGATACATAGTGGAGAATACTTAGGTTGGTTCGACCATATAAAACTGCACCGCTAACTTAGACAGATTAGTAATGTTACGCATGGTAAAGTCACCATGGAATGAGATCCCACCTATCAAGCAACTCATGAAGTGAGAAGACTAATTAACGCAATCAGTATCGTACTATTGGCAAAGGCTTTTGTTGTGGTGCTGACTGACGCAGGTTCGATTTCATAAGGTAACATAGGTATCGATAAGTCAGAAGATACAGGATGAAAGTTTCCTGCTACCTACATCCAACAATGCAACACAAAACGGTATGCCTAACTTCAATAAATTAGTGACTTCTAATCTAGGTATTTCTGTTCATGGTGAAACTAAATGCTGCTGACAAAAGAGTAAAAGATACGTCATGACAGTGAGAAAAAACACGAACAAAAACCAAAGGTGAAGGATATTCTAACAAGCTTTTTTCAAATGCAGATCCCTCACGAAGATACGCTACAGAATACCATATTTGAAATGAGTTAATTAAGCTTAGTAATTAAGCCATAATAAGTCATTTACGGAGGCTAGATTAACTTTTTACTTCTTTGCAAGACCTTGACGTCATAAGTTTTATTCAAAAGGAGGCTGACAGCGTCTACCAGTGGGAACCCCAGACTTCATGATCTGTTGAATGATCTCAGCTAATGGTAAAATTATCATCACCATAACGGAATTTTATTCCAACAGATTTTGGACTAATGACAGCAAAATTAAGGACTCGAACCAAAAGAATACATCTGTAGTTTCCTAGGGTTTCATTGACCTACTAGTGGTGAAAATCACTACTATCTATTGGTGTTTAACCGTGTATATATGTTATTTACTTTCTTACTAATAATTATCAATGAAAACAAAATATAAATGAACTATTAAAACCATCTATGTCGGCAGCTATTTTTGTTTATATGAACTACGATCAGATATTTTTGTGTTTTAGTGATCTTTAAAATGTAATTATCAACAAACAATTACGCGAATGAGAAAGAGTAAGTTAAATAAAAAGAAAATAATCACATATACTATTCAAAAGTTCATTTTTATAGAGGGTAATACATAACGCAGTTATCAGATTATTTGATTAGCAATTAACCCTTCTCTTAACTAAAGACTTGCAAAATTTGTTGACATGAAGATGGCACTAGATTTTATTGACGTAGAGGTTTTGTGGGAATGTCTGACTCCGTGAGTACTGGGAAAGTGAATAATACTAACGTTTCTCCGTTTGGACCCATAAAGTCATACAAGGACTTACAGAAAGATGTAAGATGAAGTGAAAACGAAGTGGCGTATGCCGATGATGTCCAGTGTCAACACTTCTATTCAACTCTGTTATAGCTATACTGACAGAGGAGGCTGCACATACCACGTTTCATGGGTCGATTCCCTGCCTGAAGAGCATCTAGTTGACTTACAGTAAGCGAACAACATAATACTCCTGTCAGGCGAAAATGCTAACAAAATGCAGTCTTCGGAAAACCCTGAACAAACATCTGAGTACGCGTAGTATGAGTTTTACAACCGTCAAATGTGAATTGATGCTTCAGGACAGGTCTGCACCAACTTCCAGTTTCAAGACAAAAAACGAAGTGACGAAATGCGTTGACTACTTCAGTCACTTAGAAATTCGCATTAGAGTTTACAAACCAGTTGGGAACTAAATCTGCTTGGACCTTTTCCGAATTGGACCACTGGAGGCATTGGTCAGATATTCGACTGAAAATCAAAAGACAAATGTAATGCACAAACGTGAACGTTATCCTACTGTACCACTGTGTTGTAGCATGGCAGTCTGACGAAAAGTAAAAGTTACAAATTTTTCACCAAGAGTGTCTGCATCGCATTAGTTGCGCAGCCAATGTAGAAGTAAGGTATGGATAGACATATAACGTGAAAAAAGCAGAAAGACAGACACAATCAACGTAGAGCCTTGCACAGAAGTGCATCGGTTCAAGTTGTCACACTTCACAGAAGCAAATAAAGCCAAAGTGAACAGAAAAGGACTGATAAAGTAGACAAAGACGTATACGAGGAGAAACAATTTGAAGGTGAAAGTTAGTGAAAATACTAAAGCTTAAAAAATGTCAAACAGTGAATACATATGCGCCACTGTCACAGACTTTTAGCCATTTCACGAACGGTTCCCAACCACTGACGTCTATAATCTTGAGAACCCCAGGCAGGCAATCTGGACCTTCCTGTATGGCTCATACCAACAGTCAGGAACTTCATCAACTGGTGACAGTTCTTCGTCTGACCTCCGTGAGCCCTCTGAAAACTTCCACCAGCATTGCAAGTCAAGGCGGGCGGTGGCTCGGGATGCGTAACACATGCCCAAAGCACCTCAGCCCCTGAAGGTTCACAAACTCATCGACGGACTTACTTGTCTTGCCTAATAACCTTCCCCGAACCTCCTTTACATTCCTAACACGGTGATCTCGCCACGTATGAGCAATGCTATGAAGACACCTGTGATCAAAGACTGGTAACCGCTTCATTTATTCTACTTTCAACGGTCACTTCTCACAACCCTACAACAGGACAGAACGAACTGCGGCGTAGTATACTCATCATTTAATAAGTAGTCGGATATCTCACCAGTCGGCGCTGAAGATGACGCGAATTGACAAATGTCAAACGGGCCTTCTGTTTCCGAGTTGAGACTGGGTCAGCGACCAGTCCTTTCAGGTTGATGCAACTCTTCAAGTGGGTGAAGTGGTCGACCCATCCCATCACTTTCCTCCTTGTCTTAAAACTGGGAGCAACAGCAGACCTTTCCTGTTCCAATCATGATTCGACTGGATAATGAGTAACTAAATAGTAGCTGGAGGTCAGCTGAACTGTTCTTCGGAATTTTCCGCAAGTCGTTCTAGACATCTCCCTTGCGGGTGACTCGCGGACCCATCCTTCTTTGCTATTATCTCACCAACCAACGACAAATTAGCTCGTTACTTTGGTTAGCCTAAATAATTGTTTACTGTTAGTTGTTACCCGTGTTTCCCATCTGCTAGGTCATTGTTGCCTACCAGTTCCCATCGGCATTGAGTGGACTGTTTGCCAGCCTACATTTCAGTTTCTTTCACTCCTTAAAGTGTCCGGAGCTTTCAGAAGAAGCTGCTGAAATTCAACGGGTTTTTCTAACCACTTCTCTTTGAGTGTCGGTTACACATCTTTGTAAAAATCAGTTACGGTATTTTAATGCTGTTTTTACAGTAAACTTGAGAGGGGTATCCGAATTTTTCCGGATTAGTGTCATCGTTCTATTACGATAAATGTTTAGCCAGTCCCTCAATGAAAGCAACCTTAAGGTTTTCATTCTCAATCTGAGCTCAGAATGGTCTTATCAGTACTAGATAAGGAAGAGCGGTCAGTAGACAAGGCTGGAAAATTGCAGCGATTCAAGTAGCTTTGATTTGTGTTGTACACTCTAAGGTCACCGCCTACCTCAACGAGCAATTTTGTTCTAAGTGGGATTAGGTTGAAAGTACATTAATAGTAAGCAGACCAAGACATGAGAAACGACCCATGGAGTCGTTCACTATCGATCCTAGACCTGTAAGAAAGTTTACATCGCATTTCCAGAGTCTTAAAAGTGTTGAGAAGTAGTGGTTTGAGACTTTCACTGAAATTGTTCAGAGTCGATTGAACTGGCACAAACATGCTCACTTTTTGTCACTGTAGCCACATATCCTCATTAATTTATTCCTCCTATCAATTAAGGAGTGAACTATTCTGTAGTCACGGTAAATACTCATTTTGAAATACTCATCAATATTTAAGTGCAAAACTACTCTGACAAGCTGTTCTAAACCACGTAAAAGAAGTAGAATCTAATTTCAAACTCGATGTATTTCATAACTTCATCGCATTAATTTTATCCGAGGACTTAAATAATGCGTTTAATGAATAAACGTATTGTCAAAAGTCAATCCAACTAAAATAAAGTGAAATTCAAATGATAGAAATTATCACCAAGGCAGCTTAGTAACCAAGTTATCAGTTGTGTACTGTAATTTGAGCAAAGTCATATTAAGGATGGTGTCACTGCTTCTGGACGTGATTCAGTGGCCTGCAGTGTTCGAGGATAGAGACATCAAGGTCTTTCTCTGGGAGTGTCGAGTCGGTCGCGAAGCTGGTGGGTGTCCAGGATCCAGGAGCGAAGGTCGTGGTGCTTGGCAGGTTGCTAAGGCGTAGAGCAAAAGCAGCATAAGACGGCGTGGAACGTGTGAATGGGAAGGAGACTGGGGAGAGAATTGTAGAAACGACAAGACGGAAACGAAGGAAGGAATGTTTATTATTGACATTTTGTACAGTAGTCATCAAATATTATACACCCACTAAGTCATTTGCGCAATGTGTTTTATTTCCCCTTCTGCTTCTATCTTGATTCGCTCTTAATACACCCACACCGTCTTTTGCATTTCTCTTGGCAGAATCTTTACCCATTCCTGATAATTCCCCATAATTTCTGCCACTCTCTCAACATATGCTACTTATATCCATTCTGATCAGCAACGCTCATTACAATACTAGCTGCATTCAGTCAATCGAAGTAGATGCAGTGCAATTCGAACTGAAACCATGGCTAATTGGCTAAAATTCGTATAACGGTAAGCCACAACTTTTCCTTACATAGGCATGATAAGTCTATCATCTAAATATTGGGGTGAATGAAAACATAAATGTTCTTATTACACTCCTTTTCATTTCTGCATTTAGATTTACTACATAAATTTCGGTGAAAATGTGCGTGGTTAACCATGCTCATTTGACTTTTGAAAGGTAAATAAACACATAAATATTGCTCTACTATACCAGTTCTAAACAGAATTTACATCCCTAATAAGTATACTGGCACAAAACTATACTTTATCATGAACCGGAAATCTTCACTTTGCTATTTGCTGGCTGTTTTCACACTGACCAACTCTCAAGATTACTAAATTGGTCTAGGTATTGAACTTTTCTCCATTGGGTCACGGGTTCGCATTACTTACAGAGATCTTCGGGGCCAAACATTATCCTTCAGAAAATAGATGCGATTCGTTGCCTATTGAATGCGTGTGAAATTGGTTACTGAGTTCATTTCGACCTTTTTTCATTTACTAGTTCTAGAAGTTCATTTTAAAGCTTCTTCGGTTACAACTAAAGGTTTTACTTTAACATTTATTAAAACATGACCAATACTTTTGAATTTATGCTGAAAGCTTAGGTAAACTAAGTATTAGCACTTCTTTCCAAGTGACGTATATGTAGTCGATGGGCAGGTTAGTTGTTGTTTGCTAACCACAGTAAACAAATGTACCCGTTTAACAGCATTGGTCTTTACAGCAAAATAGGGATTCTTGACTTCCAGAAAAACCGCGCTACATACATTAAAAGGTATTTCAATAGAGCAGAATGAAACAAACCAGAACACTTTTTGTAGAAGTATCTAACACATTAATCCAGCTACTTGAACCTATACAGTGTAATCTCGTGAACTATGCTGGGTCCTCTGGCCACTCTTTCCCAACCAAATTAGATTATTTCGAATACTGTAACTCGTAACACTTAATAGTGTATTCTTGACCACGACATTGCTATCTACAGTACTGCTACTATGAAGAACGTTACACAAAGATCAAGTCAAATGAATTTTTAAAGACAGAGTGATGGGAAAAACTATTATTAAGGTGATAAATTGAAAGAATCATTCAAAAGTGAATGATTACCTGATAGTCGTCAGCAAGTTAGGACCTGGCATTACGGCGTAATGGTTCGAGTTACCACATCTCATATCAGTGCATTAAGGCAGGAGGCACCAAAATGGGTGATATAGAAGTGAGGAAAGAAGTAACCGAAAATGGTAAAAAGTCGTGAAAAAAACAACAACAAGAAATGAAACCATAATGAAGTCCAGTACGATGATAGAAGTGACGATAAAGTGTAGGTTTATGTGCCCTTGATAGGAGTCATATATGCTTCTATTTGCTCCAAGACAACCCTAGACACTCAGAATACAGACAATGTCATGACTACAATAACTTCCATACAACTAGAAGTCGGTAAAATATGGAAAACCGAGCAGAAAGTATAGGTACTACTACCTAAAACAAATTAAGAATACGATAAGTTTGTATCTGTAACAAGTCTACTAACCTCAAAGTGTAAGGGATCCGTTGCAAATGGACATTCATAAAGAATAATGAAAAGATTCACAAGCTTCTGTCGAATGATAGCTATTTCAGAAGTTGGTTGACTGTCATCCAAACCATCAGGAGGTTGAATTACCAATAGTTGATGTAAGCTGATCACAACCAAACGCCGTACAGCTCTCATTAATGTGTCAACAATATTTTGGCGTTCAGGAATAGATACAATTAAAGACCAAGCCTGGCGTAAATCATTAAGATTAACAGGTGGCCAGTATCCATTATCTGTTGAGTTATTTATGTTTTTGACTGGATCTAGGGTGATCACTTCTTGAGTATCCAGATCTATATCTGAAAACAAACATTTACTTATCGGTAAAAACTTAGTTTAAAAGCAGGAAAGATTTGACAATCTCTTATTTCTGAAAACTAGAGAAGTAAAACAGTTGCGTAAGCAAAAAGTACAAACTTGTTGCTACATAAGAGAAGGCAACAAATAAAAACCCATAAGCTTGGATGTCTTGTTAATACCGCTGACCAGTTAGTGTTATTCACAATCTTTTAAAAAATGGATTCCTCATCAACTTAGGTTTTTCTAAATATTCATCTCCCTAGGTACACTGTAACATTGTTCAGTAAACGTAACAAGTCACTGAATTGCACGTCTTTAGACTGTTACACTTTGACTGATCACATTTGGGCCTTAAGCACAAAACTGATTATATTTACGACTATAAAAGCATTCCGAAGGTATCAGATCCCAATGTTCGGAGAGTCACATTTAGAAATTACTTCACTACGATGAACCGTGCATGTAATATTCATTCATTCCTATCCAGAGTAGCAACAGAGTGAAAGTTTCAGTATGAAGATAACAGTGACATCCGCACTATGAAATGATGGAAAATATTTGTAGCTTGAGTACTACACTAGAGCTAGTGCTGATGATATTTTCTAGAGAGAAAATGAAAGCTTCACCATCACACCATCCATTTCAGAGAAACACAACATTATGAATACATCTGTACTATGGATATGCAATAATCAAGAGGATTAGAAATAAGGTGAAAGAATAGGTTTCAAATTGAGTCTTAATAGTTGACACGCAAAACAGGAAATATTTCATAAGTAATGATTAGTTATGAAGAAAAAAATGTTCAACACTGATGACAAGTAGGTGAACTTGTAAACGAGATTTCATGGTATAACAACAGATGCTTTCACATTACTCACTATGGTGGCATCAATTATTATCTACAACAGCGTTAGCCAAAATAACTTAACTTATAGTGTCAAATATTAAAGAAACCAACGAAACAAATGAATGTTTTCCATATCCGCTAATATCCCACTACTTCCTCATTTAAAATACTGTGTACATGGAAAATGAATATTTTAAATTATAGAAGCCTTAGTTATCTGAAGAAATCTAAACTTTATAACTGTAGATCAGAATTTAATGGATTGGTGGGCTGGTGAAAAAGGAAGTTATATTCTCCTCTGCAATCAACTCTGGTCGCAAATATGATATACATTATCGATAATTGTTCGGATTTCCACATAAGCCGTATCGGTTACATGGCAACAAATCAGAAACATTTAGTTGTGTACAATCTCCAAAACACTTGCACTTGTACACCACAACAAGATGGGTTATAGCTTTGTGACTTCCAGGTCCTAGCTATTTCAAGCTGAAGAATAAACTGTCAGTATCTTCAAATTTATGATGCGCATGCCCAGCTACCGCTTAACTCAGTGTGAAAGGTTAGCCAAGGTATGATTGGGTTAGAGGAAAGCTAAGCGTGATCAAAGCAAGACATGCCACCAATCTATTCATTCAGTCTTTGAATGTTGTTATGAGTCATGTAGGAAGATAGAGACTGTTTGTCTGAGGTCCTCAAGATAATAGGAATAAATGGTTGGAGAATCTTAGTGACATGGTTAAAAACAGCTCTTCGAAAGTTTGTATGCTTTGATATCAACCTTTTTCTATCCACTTTTTCTTCACATTCAGCTAAGTGTGGCAACCTGAATCGACGCATTTCTGTGCGAGGCTTAACGTTTATATCTTTCTGACTGCTGATCCCACACTCACTATTTAGGTATTCATGGTAAACAAGCAATGCTGGAAAAAACGGGACGTCCACAGCCACTAAACTCTCCAATTTTGTGTGCCTCCACAGCAATGATGATTTAGAACCAGTTTCCGAAGTGACTAAGAGAATGTAGCAAAGGCACTTTCGGTAGTGAATCCTCTTTAGGTGCTAAACAGATTAAATAAAAGAAGTCATAATTTGACTGAAGCCTCCAAATGTACTAACCAATTCCTCATAATTATTATGGAAAGTGACCACAGTAAGATTAAGTTAATCGGTTTCTAGGAATGAATATTTAAACTGTGAAGATGAATTTCGAATAAGTTGGAAAGAAAGCTGCCATCCTACAACTTCGCAAAAAACCCGTGAAAAGTATTCACCCTACAGACCAGGTCACAGTTAAAGAAGCCAAACATTTCAAATGATTATATTTATTTACTGCTCAAAACAGACAACTGCTTCTACAGATGGGAATGCAAACTGAGACTTCAAAAAGACATCAATAAACCTAAATGGAAATTATTCAGAAAATGAGATCAATATATGATAGATAATTCAGTGATGATATTATCTTCACTATTAAGCTAAGAGGCATCAGTTCCGTAAACAGTATTTGCTAGCACTGAGAAAATTGTATTGAGATTGCTGTATAACACGACTTCACAACAAGATATCAAAAATTGTATCAACCAATTAAACAAAAAAACTATACTGATTTGATCACGTTTATGTATCAGAAACATTTAATGAAAATTATGTCGAACAGTATCCCTTATCGTAACCAATTGCAAATGAAGTTGAATCAAACCAAGATGTACAATGTTTGCCTTCCTGACAGGCTACCCCCAAACTATCTGTTGTTAACAAACCTAGTAAAATTGAGGTAGACTAGAATTCTATACGCACTCAGCAGCTGTATATGCATTCGGGCAGTAGGAAATGAGCCAAACCCATTGTATAAGTGCTAATGATACCACCTGGTTACCTGAACCTCAGTAGGTAGAGCGAGATTCGTGGACCACTGGTCAACTACCTACATCAATGAGGCACAGCGTTTTATTATACTTACAGTAAACTACCTCTTGACCATTTGGATATGAAAAATGATCACTCTCAAACGAGCAGGAAAGCACTAAAAAAATGGAATCGTTCTGGTGAACTGAACTAGCTGCAGATATCATATCATGTTCAGGAGGAATTCACTCTGATAACTCTTTTTGTTGTTGCGCAACTATCCCCTTCACGCCCTTGTATGCCTTTCATAGTACACCACCCACCACTTTTCTTGTTCCCATACGCTTCTACCGTTATAAAAAGAAACTAAAATTCCGACTGCTTTTTCGTTCCTTTTCAATTTACGCTGTCTGACCCCCAAATAAATATAAATATGATAAGAATAAGAACAAAGTAGCAAAATGGCATCACACTATTTTTCCAAATTTTAAGCAACTTAAAAAAGCCCGAAGTAAAATGGTATCACATCATTTTGCGTATTTTGTTGTTCTTACTTTTGAGGTTCATAAAAGAAAATATATGCATAATACAACACACAATTGTGTTCTTCTGTTTTTAGAAGGGACTATCTTTTTCAGAATTTATACACCTTATAGGATAAATCATACTAACTTGGTGACCAGGTTTTTCCAAACCATCTAGTCCATTGTTGTTCTAAACACTTTATATGATAATCTTTTTTATATTAAAAGTAAAGTATGTTAGTTTCTACCGCATAGTGATTCCTTGTATATTCTTAGCTGTTTTCAGCTGAAGAGAAGTGGAATAAAAATAAACCCGTTTTATCTTGACAAACCATAAAAACGCACGACTGCATATTTCTTGAACACCAAATGACCTAGGGAAATGACAGTGAAACTGATACCCAGTGATACTGAAGTGTGAACAACTTTTTAGGCAACTACCGTTAAAAAATAGGAAACTAATAAAGATTAAATTTGTCACGATAACATGATGGATAATGGAACATATTACTTACCATCTTGTTCCATAGGAATAGGATCTGTTATGCAACAAGTCGAATTACGGATTACGTTTATATCACTAGGAGATCTGATCACATTATCAAATGAGTCATTATCATCATTATTTAAAGTAGGTTGAGTACGTTCATTGTCATGTTTTAACTTTTTGGCACTAGTTATGCATAGTGAGGAATTAGAAATATCAAGCGTATTCTCATCATTTGAGGATCGTTCTTCAGATACATTTGAATCAGACGTATCCAGAAAGCTGCTTGATAGTGCATCGTACGAACTGAAAACAGAGTTCAGCAAGCTAATGAGACAAGACCACTCCCCGTTTTTCTTCCCCACCTCAATAGCTTTCTGTAATTCTGTTAATGACAAACCCATTTTACGAGATTCACGTTCTAGAGATATGTTTGAAGTAGAAACTGTTGGGTTGGTTTGATTTGCTGGTGCCTTAAGAGCTTTTAAAGCATGTGAGCCTGAACTTGAAGCCCTAGATGTACCTATAATGAAAAAGAGCAATGTACGAGCAGTAAACTGAGTAGAATAGTTGGTACGATTTGCCTGAAAAAAACTTTAATTTTCAACAAATAGAAGTGATGCATAAAAGTAATGGTTAAAGTAAAAAGGGAAGCCCTATAAGCTTACTAAACAGAGGATTACGCCCATGGAGGGCTGAACTTAGAGAGTTATCATGATCCGTAGAATAATCTTCCGTAATAATCCCAGAGGCTGGTTCGTTTAGCTGAGAGGAATTCAACTCATCATTTTCTGATGCATCGAACAAAAACATGATTAGTCGAGTAACCTCAGCAGGTGTCATAAGAGAACGAAACGAATCTTCTATTTCCTCAGAACCTGTTGCTAGTGCATCAGAATGAGTAACAGAAGGGTGTGTTGACTGGTCATTGTCAGTTAGAGAAGTAGAAGCGACTTGAAAACTATAACTGGAAGACTGTAAAAAATGAGAATAAGAAGCAAGTGCACATTACTTCGTTATTTCCAGCAGACTTTTCACCACTGGAATTTTCATTACTAGCTCCATGCTCTGTCGAATTTGAGTTTGACGGGCTGCTCATTTGGGTATATGATAAGCTTGAACTGGTAGGCAAACAAAGATCAGCACGATTGACCGTTAGTTCTATTGCTAGTGCGGCAGCCTGATTGGGTGTAATACTCGGATGTGCAAAGCGAGCAGATGATGCACAGTTCCGGTTCTGGCAATCCACATTACGACATCCATGAATAAGCTGGTTAAAGTACAAAGTAATGAGGTGCTTGACTCGTGACTCAGGAATATTCCTATAAGTAGTGGAAACATTATTAAAGAGAATGACAACAGGAACTGTAAATGACCATCATATCGAAGAGGCAATTTAAGTTATAGTTACGCAAATCTTACATTAGAATAAGAAAAATGTCGCTTTTGTAAGGTCTAACCCCTAACTAGTGAGGGAAAATGATGCACAGAAACTTGATCACACAAGATGGCTAAGTCACTTCCAACTTCAGCATCCTCAGTAACAGATCCTTTACCTCATGATGAGAAAATACATCACGAATCACGTAGACAACCATGTATTGCACGATTCATACCAATAATATCTGGATAAGTCATACTACCCGGTTGCCAAACTTTGAGACAAAGTCTTTCTCTACAACTTCATGCTAATAAGTTGAAAAACAAACCAGTGAATGTCTACATCCTTTGCCTCATAGAATACTGCAAATAACGAATTGGACTAATATGGATTGGTCCCACATGTTGAATCGAAATGATTCCAATTAATAACTTTAATGTGGTGTAAAAATAATACAAGTGTTTGTATCTGGAAATTGATTTCAGTAGAGCAAATGTAGCAAAACCATACGTCTATCCAAGTCTTGCAAACCTTAATGTCATTTACATTTTTCCTGTGAAATAATGCTAGCCAAAACCCTTTTTAACATTAAGAATTGAATACTTACAATAACTCGTAATAAAGACTTTAAATGCTGAGAATAGTGAAACTTTTCAGTCGTTGCCTTTTTCCTTGCTGATTTCATCCTTCTATGCTGATTTGAAGGTGGTAGAATGGAGATCACACAATTCAGCAAATGGAACACCGTGGGTCTACAAGACCTCAACTTGCATGTGCTAATACCAAGTTTTAGCGTAGTCTAATGAATGCATAAATAATCTTTTAAGTAAATAAGATGGAACCTTGAAACAGCTTTGCTGGTCATAAACATGAACGCCAATACTATGATAAAAAGTTTCGTGCAACCAGCAGTATCTAAAATTTCTAAACTATACAACTTATTAACTGCTCTGAAACTTAAAAATAGGATATGAAATTTATCATGACACATGGAGTGAAAATAATGGTGCTTTAGAGGGCTGTGAAGTGAGACGCTGAGCCATTCCGTGAAGCATCTTGGAGGCATTTACGGAGTCAGATACCAACGAACCGATAGCAGTGATTGTGTTGCACTTTTGTTCCAACAATCTCTTTTAGGCAAAAGGAGAGACAGTCTCGTATGGTGTCCGCCAAATTCGAATCAACGACGGACACAGATAGATCACATTGCTGTAAACCATCTTTGGAGAGGGTCAGTGGAGGATTGCCGCTCTTTCTAGAGTAACATCTTGGACTCCCATCACACGCTAGTACGTGTTCGTGTATGTCTGCGTCTTACTGGTTATGGGAAACATCACAGAAAAGCTTGTCTATGCCCGAAGATGCAAAGTACGTGTCAAGGCAGGAGTCAGCTACGCACTTACCTGAACGTGACAGCAGTGCTCATCCTGAAGAAACCTGGTGTGATATTAAGTTTGCTGTAGAAACAATGGTAAAGACAATTGGTAACCTACACCCGAAAGTTAGCAGACGTCACTAAATTTACGAAACGTTATTCAAGCTGATCGATGCGAGAAATAATTCCAGCTGGCTCTGACCACAATGAACAGCGAAAGCAAATGAAACACAAATTGATTAAGAGTCTTCGTAATGACCACGAGCAGTGGTAGGCAACACTTGGTAATATTTTAGGCTTATGAAGGATACCCGGAAGAAGACGATGGTTAGTGCAACCACCAACTAAAAGGATGGAATGCTGATAACCTTCCAGGACAGGCGGCTGGGAACTTCAGTAGAACGCTTTGAAGCCCAGTTCAACAATGCTTCAGTTGCCGACCATCCAGTCTGGACCTGAAAGGGATGTAGATCTCGGTCCTCAAACTATCCTTGAATTTGAAAAAGCTGTATCGAACCTGAAATGATGCGAAGTAGCAGGGTTTAACAGTTTGCCACCTGAGGTTTGCAAGGATGGAGGTAGGAAATTGCTGACTAAAGTGATGGAAGTTCTAGGTAGTGTACGAGAATCAAAGGTAGTGCCGTCAGATTGGCTTACTTCTCTGGTCATCCCAAAATATAAGGGAGAGAAATATTCATGTGACAAACCTAGCGGAATCAGTTCGACCAATATTATGTCCACCACCCTGGATCTATAGTTATCCGACGCCTAAATCGAGCGCGAGAACAGTAAACTCAAGAAAGCAATGCAGATTTCAGACAACTTCACGAAGGTGCATCGACCAAATGTTCACCCTCTGACAGGTTCTGGAACACATATTTCTCGATCTGAAGGTGGCACTTGACTTTGTTGACCGGAAGCTGTGGCAGTATCTGGCTGGGAACGGAGCACCAAGCAAGTAAATAACGCTAACCAACGTCCTATACTCGAACCCAGGTAGGCGTGAGGCGGTTTATGAAGAGTTGTCCGTTGTCTGACTTCACAGAGAGTGACTTGCTCTCTGAAGGTCATCTGATTGACCTGCAGTATGCAGACGATACCTTCCTGCTAGGCGAAGGCGCTAACACAATACAGTCTCGCAAACGTGTTCAGGAGAAATCTGAGTGTGTTTGGCATGCGTTTTACTTGCCAGATGCAAGATGATGCTCCAGAACTGGTCTGCTGCAAGTATTCTCAGTTTGATGGTAGTGAGTGAAGTAGTGGGATGTATCAACCATTCCATTTGCTTGGGAAGTCGCATCGGCCCGAATGCGCAGGTTGCTGACGAGATCTCAGCTCGGATATCGAAACCCCGTTTGGCATTTGCCAACTTATGTCACTTGTAACGCTGACAAGATACCTGATTATCTACCAAAGAACGAGTAAACTGTGCAGCAATCCATTTTGTCCTGATATATGGCTGTGAAACATGTCCGTTAGAAGTAGAAGACATGAAGCAACTACAGAGTTTCGATTACAGATGTATTCGCAGCACTGCTCAAGTTTGACGGAATCATGTGAACAATGTTGAGGTGAGGCGAAGGGTATTGGACAAGACAGCCAAGTCGACTGATGAGGTTGTGAACCTCAGTCAAATGAGATGGCTTCGATATGTACTGCGCATCCCGATCCACGCCTACCTAGATGCGCGATGCAGGGGAAGTTGGATTAAGCTGGGAGAGTTCAGCATGGTCAGACCAAAACTTGGCACCAGTGGACGAAGTCCATTACCATTGGTCTGAGCTGTATAGTGAGATGTAGATTAACTCATTGGGGTCCTCGACACGAAAGAATCAACTTGTTTATTAAACTATCAAGTCGGCTAACACTTTGGGTGGTTTGAGACTTTTGCGTCATCCGCAAAACCGAATTTGGGCGCACTTTGGGATTTTCGTGTGCGTCTCCGAAGTTGGTTGCGCTTCACGAAATTTCAGTCTCCAGAAGGTCACCAAACTTGTGCGAATCATATTCCACGACTAAGCGTCTAGAGATGTAAATTTTTATCTTATATCCCGCTTTCTGAAGGTATATATGCCGACAACTGTGGGTGCACTGCAGACAATTTGGGCAAACTCCAGACACTGCAGCGTCTGCATGCGTTTTGGGCTGGTAGGATGTAATAGTCTGCTTAGTTCCTTCATCCTGAAGACCAAAACACTCCCCAACCATTTATATCCCAATAGCAGTAAAAGCTATGGATATCAGGATACACAAAGTATAAACAAATGGATAATAGGTTCAACCCACTCTCATTACTTCATTTACTCTAGCATTCCAGGTGGTATTGTTCACTAACCACTGTATGAAATTCAGAAACTCTTATGACATGTATAGAAAGAACTTTTTACCTATGTAAACTTCAATCTCTTATAAAAAACCACTAATAACACAACGCTGGAAACTCAAGGAAAGACAGTTACATGAAGTGGGGTTTCTCTTTAAAGAACCTCGATGGAGCAAAACTGTATGTCCAATGATTCATGTTCAACAAAATCTTCAGGTTTCGTGACTGCTAAACCCAGTTTGGGCTGATTCTCATATATCGCTTGATTCATTTTTATCATACATTCAATTACGTATTCTAGTATCGACAATACATATACTCAACGGTCAATGTAACTACAAAATCCACTAACCAGTAATTCGTTCGTAAATTTATTTAGTTACTGTTGGTGTTAAAGGAAGTAACTGTTCATAGCAAATGATAAGGAAAGTTACCATCCGTTAAGTCTCAAGAGCTATACCCACTAAAAGTTTGATCACCTTACTGGTGAGTTTTCAAACGCTCGATAACTAGCTTCACAACGCTGGCCGTCTCACTCTGGAGATAATGGTATTATTATGGATATGCAACAGGAACTACCAGGACATGAATACTGGTCACAGTTTTTCGTCGTGTGGTGTTCACAAAATGCCACCCAGCGGCCTTTCCACAGTCAAAGAACAAAGCCACCAACGGCGAGAGTAGAAGAAACTTGTAGTTTTTGAGCTCCTACACCTAGGTCATGATGCTTGGTTTTTCTGTTCGGTTATACTTCTTCGGTGGTCGCAGAAGTCTTCACGTATTTCCCGCTCACAGCTTTGGTAGTGGTGACTGTCTATTTGAAATCATTTTTTCTCAGAAATTGTTACTTGGTTTGCTTTGGGGGACAACGGAGCTATCGACAAGATCAAATGACCTTTTGCGGATGCGGAACGAGAAAAAGAGTACCAAAAGGCATTTATGGGGAAACAAGTGATGCTGGCAATGAGATGAAGAAGAGATGCGTTTTATTTCAGATACCAGGGTTGGGGAATACAAACGTAGATGAGGAAACCCTGAGCTCCTACCTATGAATGTCCGTGGTGAGCAGTTCGTGCCCGTGTGCTTATCCACCAGTCTTTTGAATGAATCAGTAATAATGATATATTTCATACAACGTAAGTTACATGAAAATAAACCAGTCCACATGTATGATCAATTTGGTAATGTAGACTGACCGTTATGTATAATGTCAAGCTATGCATTAGATACTGTTATTTACGGCACATAAGAGATGCGTCTAAAGGAAGAACATTAATGCTTCGCAGACAGCAAAGAACAAAGCAGATAGTCACCAACATAACTGTTCTTCAGACTGAAGCAAACTCAGTTCGAAGACAGGAATTGTTCGGCTATTGTTCGGAACTTCCAATATTCTCGAAGGTAGGGCAGGTAGTACAGCCATCACCTTGAATTGTATGCATTTGTCATAAAGTTTCGATGGCGTGGTGTACGCTGACAAATGCGATTACTAGGATTCCATACGGATGAAGGACGGGTTAGGTAAACCTGAACAAATGAATAACAAAAGCAAGCGGCAGGAGCACAAAAATACTACGCAGAAGTATATCAACCACGACACATGAAGGTGAGTTCATTGTACTGCCTACAAAGTTGCTTGAAGAAGTATCCAAAACCAACTGTTTGGAGGTAAGCTTATGGGGAATAAGATAAGGGCGCATACGAAAGTAGCGGAAACTAGACTGAAGCCGAAGATATCAACGTGGAATGGAGAGAATAGAGGATTTTGGACCAGGTATTCTCTTATGTGTAGAAAACCTACGTTCAAAAGTTTCGTGAAGTTATAAACATTTGAATAAAATTCATGATTTTTGCCAAGATGGCAACCACGCTTTATACAGCCATGGGGGTGAGATGACCATGGTGCTGCCTGTTGAGTGTCATCACATCACGGCTATGGAGACAGTATGATGGTGCAGAGTAGGCCTAGCTTGTAGACCTGGCGGACTTTTTTCTTTTGGCAACCTCGTTCTTTTTACCAAGTGAGGTGGTTGTGGTTACTTCTTTCGGCAGAGCGTTCCATTATGTGCACAGTCCACATGAGAAGAGGTTTGATCTTACTCTTGTCTTTGCCCTATGGTGGGTTATGCCAACGGGGCCCCCGCGAGAAAGTTAGTTATGGGCTAATACTGTCGACCAGGACTCTAGTTGCAGCAGGCAGTCCTTGAGCACCCTAAAATCCTCTTCTCCACCTGTTGTCCTCCATTTTTAATGTTGTCGTCAAATAGGAGGATAGACAATGTGGTTTTAATGGGAAGGTCACTTATGAATAGTAAAAATAGCGGTGACCGGAGGATCGCTCCCTGAGAAACTCCTGTTCTTGTGCTCATCCTGGCTAATCGAATTCTGTTTACTTTCGCACAGAGTTTTATGTCCCCTAGATATGCTGTAAACCATGCTAAGAGTGGTTCAGTGATACCCACTCTTCCAACTTTAGCTAGCATGGTGCAGTGAGGGACGCTGTCGAAAGCTTTGATAAAGTCCAGAAAGATAACGTGTACTGATCGCCTGTTGCCCCATCTGGTGGTCCAGTCATTCCAAGCGGTCATCACGTTCGTGACACATGACCGTCCGTTTCTGAAGCCGCAATGGGTGAGATGAACGATGTCGGTTCCGTTCAGGTAGTCCCAAACGGCATCTGCAGTCAGGCTTTCCAGTGCCTTGGATAGTATGCGAAGTTATGCTATTGGCCTGTAATTGCACGGACTTTTTAGGTTTGCTCTCTTGAAGGTTGGTGAAAGGATACTACATCTCCATTCCTTGGGGAGTTGGTTTACTTTCAACGAGTGCGTAAACAGATTGGATATACGTACGCTCAGAGCTTCAACGCAATTCCATTGGACCACCGGTTCTCTTTCGTCACAGCCAGGAGATCCCCTCATTCTCAGTGTTTGAAACCACGCAAACACTTGGTTTGACGGAATCTTTACCTTCACCCGCTTTCGGAAACAGCAGAACGCTTCTGGCTCCACCACTGGTTGTCTCTCCTCGGTTAACAAGGAAGATCTCACCGAAGCGTGATCGTTTTCGTCCAGGGATGGGCTTTGGGACACAGTGTTAGGGCACAGTGAGTTTGAGATCCTCTTTCCTCTAACACCCATCTGATGCTTTCCTAAACTTTCTCTATAAGTTTTGCCCCTATAAACGTGTTTCGAACTCTATGTTCAAAGGATTTACGTCCACGGCTTACTTCACTGTGCAGATAGAAATATATTAATAATCAAGAGTAACTCAACATCTCAGAAGATCTTGCTGCAAGAAGATATATATGATATCCATGTTGTTGTTATTAAATCATCTTACATATCATCACGAAGAAGTTTCCCTCCTGTCAGTAATGGAGAAACTAGTGGGGGAAGAAAGTGTGTATCAACAATTTCGATTGTGCGTTCGAACGTAACTCCCTCAGCAGATAGAAGAGTGTTCAACGGGCAACCAAAGTGTAATATTTTGAGTTTCAAAGTTCATAATAACTTACCAACTCCCTCTGGTGTCAGGGTTCTGTTAATGTGATGTGAACGTGGCATAAACTGATTATTTTATTGGAATAATGTATGTGAGAGGTTCGGGTGAGGAAATTATACAGGTTGTGGTTCTAAAATGCTTGTTGCTTTTGCGATATGGTCCTAAGGATCACCCACAACGCGAGCGACTGGAGGCCGTGTCCACTGATTAGATACATTGACTGGTGATTGTTATTCACCACCGCAGGTCTGAAACTAGTACCAAATATATTTTACCACAATTCCAACACCTGTGTCGACGCTGCCGTCCCCATGAAAGACTTCGAAAATCCTTCCAAACAACGAGCCATTCATACCTCTTAGTGCTCGTGTGAAGTTACGAAAATTTTCGACGGGATACTACCGGCACCATAATTTCGGCGCACCGGTTGATTTTTAGTGTTCTTAACTCCCTCTCGCATAACCACGATATGCGTATGAAAAGTGAAGGGAGTAATGCACTACCTAGCTCACCATAATTAAAGGTGTCCTGGCACTCTTCAGGAAGGGACTGAACTGCGTAACATTCCTCTCCTTATTCATGGCACTAAACCCTACAATAATCCGGCAGGTATTTGTGAAGTATTCGGCGACATATGTGCAGCTAGTTACCTAGATCCTACAGCACTCCTCTGTAATACTAATATGGTCTGTCCCGTAAAAACCATTCCTCGCTCACAGTAGCGTCAATAGGTACAGTTGAATTTACATACGCTAGCAATAACCAAGCCATCAGGATGCTAAAATTCTCCAGTAGGGCTGGTAAAGACGGACTAATATAATACTGCCTTAAGTACGGTGGCTCTGACAGTCCATTACCATTGCTTAAGATATTTTCTATGTCCCTAGAATCTTCCGCTTGCCCTGATGTCTGGGAAACATCATTTACCCTACCTAGACATAAATCCGGTTCAGAAACATTGGCTGATAGCTGTGGATTAATAAATGTTACATTTGTGTTGTCTGCAGTTATGGGTAAAGTTGTTAAGGAAAGCGTTCTTCAGCAAATGCTTGGTAACGACATTATCGTATCCGGTCAGCATGAGGTCCCAAAGTAAAGGTCCTGCATAACTTTTATCTTGTCTTATTTAAGGTCTACCACGCGTGACCGACACCAATTAGTCCTTATGTTTTATTTACACGCTTCAAGGGCACTTGATGCAGTTGACCACATGCTGTTAGTAAGTTGAAGTCTCCAGAGGTTGACTATCCATTGTTAGGATGGATTAAATATCTCCCCAGTAATCGCACTCAAGTGGCAAAAGTGGGCTCGCATATTCCAGAACCTAGGCCAGTTGTCTCTGACGTAGTAGGTGACGACCAAAATCCAATTATTTTGGCCTGAAAGCAGAAAACAACTGAGCGGTGCCAAACTAATGTGAACCTGTCAAGTTCCTACGCTCTACTATATGGCTTCCGAACTTTGGCGGGTGATGCACAGCTGAAAGGTTGGATCAACAGTATCAAAAACGTGGCTTGTAGTAAATCAGTTGTGGATTCGTAAAAAATCTGTGATATTATCAAAGCAACAATAAGCTGTATCAGAATTGCAAAAATGCTACGACAGTGCCATGGGGTAACTGTACAGTCCAAACGTTCTTGTGCATAAATACGTACTATACGGCAAAAATTGGTTAAACAAATACATCTGTTAAA